CTCACGCTACAACCTGAACGTACATGGTGCTACAGGCCCGCGTGACTATCGGCCCGCGGCCACCATGCTTGCTCGACGTCCCATGGTCGCTCATCAAACGTCGCGAAAGTGCATGGGCGAGCCTGCAAGGGCAAGATAACCACGGCCTCATGCGTCCACGCAGCATGTGAGCGCCTACCCATGGACGCAAGTGTCGAGGCCTTGTCGGAAAGAGGTGGTACTAAGGAGCCTTCTCCGATTCCGAGCGATGCATTGTCAGTTATGTACGGCGGCTGTGCTAGTTCGACTCGACTGAATTTAGCGGCAGCGGCGCATCCCAAAGTCATACCCGTCTGCACCCATTTCCAGTTCTGATTCACTTGGCTCCTAATCGAGCACAGGGCGTGGAATTCCCAGCGAAGCGTCCTAAAACGACCACGTAATTGTGGGGTTGTGGTGGGCTAAGAGTGAATGAGCGCCCTATTACGTGCGCTGCGTCCCACCCCGGCTGATTCGTTACAGGAACACAGCCCTCATGACAGACGGCAGCGAGTGCTACGGACTGTTTCACCGCCCGCTCGCGCCTGGCTGGCCTGGCCTCGCATCGCGACGACACACCTAGCTAGCTGGACGCAGCACCCTTCAACTGCCGCGACGCAGCACCTCTCCGCCTGCCACGTCCATCATCGCTAAGCCTCTGTCAGCCCTCGGCCCAGCCTCACGCCTGTTGGTCTTTCGATCGCTGCATTGCCCGCATTGGTGATCATCGGCAACGGGTGCTTGCATGCAGCTGGCCCTTCATTGGCCTTCCTTGGGTACTTGTGTAAATCACCACCAAGCCAGCGATCGCTCTGGAGTCGCTTGGCAGGACGCAGCCGTCTAGAGCAGAGCGGGACTTGTCTGCGCGTTACGCCCGCTTTGCAGTCCCACGATTCGTCGACTGGGGGGTAGGTGCTTGTGAACGAACGGAGGAGCTGTAGTCATGGGCCAGGCCTGCTTCGGTCCACATTGCCTCAGCGCCTCCCACTCAAGCCGGGGGAGATTGAGATCTCCAGATGCAGCTGCTGAATGCCGCCGATGAGCGCCTGGAATAGCCAGGTTTTCCGTCGGAGGAAGCCGTTTGCTCGGCGGCCCGGCCAATGACGACGCGTAGCAGCATCCATACGGTGAGGCTCGCTGTTTGTCCTCCCCCCGCAGGAGACCGTGGGTGCCCGGAAATAATCTGCGCTGATCTATCCGCATGACGAATTGCGCCAAAGCCTTATCGTCATCGCCGCGTATGAAGAATGTCTGCAGGTCGTTCCTTCTGGCCGATCGAGACAAAGTCCGGCGTCTACCCCGTTTGCTCTCCGCATGCCGCCTAGCCTTTCGAAAAGAAAAGTTTGGCCAAACGGAAGCCTTGTATGCATAAAGTCGATAGTGGACACGTGTTACGGATGCTTTGGCCCTCTTTTACAAGCAGTGCTCGCCTCCCGTGTGACGCTCAACGGACGCTGCAGGTTGCCAATTAGATTGAGCAAAGGTAGGGACTGAGGATGCAGATTGCGGATTGCTCGCTGCAAATGTTTCAACGGGCCGTTGTTTGTTGGTACGTTTCACGTTCTCAAACAAGTCTGATGAAAGAGGCGGCAACCAGATCGGCGGGCGCATGGCGGGGAACCATTTTCAAGCAGTATACGTACCCTTGCCAAACTGTCCGGGCCAGTCAGGCTAGCAGGAGTGCCTGACCCGGCTAGAGATGACACCACCAGGTCGTGGCACGTTACACGGGATGCGGGTACACTGACTGAAGAAACCGTTATTGCTTGTCCAAGCCTGGCCGTGCTCCCCTGATGCCGAGAAGGATCATGCACAGCTCCTCTTGCATTAGCCCGGCTTCTCAACCACTCCTTCTGCGCGACAAGGGCTAGACGGCTTGTCTGCTGAACTGGAGATGGATCGGCATGGCAGAAATCCTAGCATCGGCCTGATGCGCACAAGCATCATGCAAGCAGCTTGGGCACAAAAACACTCATCCATAGCCCGCCTAGCCACGTCGAACGCTGGCTGTCCGCATTGAAAATCACAAATACACCAGAAGCTTCGCCGACTACTCTTGCCCTTTCGTCTATAACATCTATGCGGTCCCGAAGCCCTACCATCTAGCGTGCATGATTGTCCAAAATTTGCCTCAGTCTCTGTCGGAACTGAGACTCACTCAGCCACGATCCAGCAGAGGGATCGCCTCAGATCAGGCTTTCATCGCGCCAGGTCCAAACGAAACTGCAAACGCCCACCAGCTCGCCCTATTCGACAGTACCTTGCAGCTAGCTCCCGCCGTCAGTCACCTTGTTTCTCCTCATGCAAGCTTGATTGCCCTCCTTTGCATCCAGCTAAAGATAAGCTGCAGACCATGAACGATTTCGAGCGCTATCACCATCGCTCCCCCATACCTCACCACTACGCATTTACCGACCGAAGCTTACCGATGAGTTTCTCCCATGCCATGCGTCAGGACATCCGACAATGTCCGGTCACGCGCCAGAACCGCAACGTACCCCCGCCTTCTGTAGAGCCCGAGCCTGACACGGCCAACGGACAGCCTCGTCGCCGGATCGCTGTTGCTGTAAGTTAGTCCGTACTTGTTGAGCCCAACCACGTGCGAACGCGGGACGGACCGCAGCTTTAGCTCTTGCAAGCGGGGACGCTAAACTTGCAGCCGACTAATGCATGGCTAGTGTGCTAGATGCAGGAAAAGAAAGATTCGCTGTAGCGGCGACCCCGGAAACAACACCGGCTGCCAGAACTGTCGGGCGGCTGGGGCCGACATCAACCAGTGTCAGTTCAACAGAGTATGTACAGCATGGACTTGTCTCAACTATGACTGATGTGTCTAGGTTGGCTCCTTTGCGCCGACGGGTCCTGTTTACAACTACCCTAACGCAGTGGCGTCCAGCCCAAACTTGCCTTTGACCAACAGTTACCACGGCTCGACGGGAAGCTATCCGCCGCACGACAAGGGAATCTTGATGGCAAGAGCATACCAACCTTACAGCGCCGTTGCTTATAGCGACGATTCTCCGATCGAGTCTTACGGATACCAGACTCCAGCACCACTGCCAGCCAACGATGTCTTTGGATCTTTCTTCGGAGCTCCGGATACTCTCCGCCAGTGGAACACGATGGACCAGAAGCCGGCGCCTACAAGTAACGGTATGTGTCTGGACCAGGCCAACCAAGGCTCGTACAGCAGTGCGCAGCTGCCATACTTGAGTACGCCTGTTACCCGCCAACCGGCTGTTACTACCGATAGCATGGCGGCATTTAGTATGAACTCGCTGCAGTCCTCGCTCATGCCTGCGATGACGTCTATTCCTTCAAGCCTTGAGACTCGACACCTGCCGGTTCCTACGGCGACAAGAATGCCATCTCAGATTCAGACCGAACTTCCACTTCGGACACTAGCCTCTTCGGGAACACCCAGCGGTAGTGGAATTGGCATCAACGGCAGCTACACGAAGGCGGCGATGGTGTGGAACCTCGACAACAATACGCAAGACGGACGTCAGAGTTCGAGTAACGGTCACAGCAGCGAGCTGATGCCCGCGCCGTCTCTCAAATCGTCGACTTCCTCGATGCAAGACCCCAACGTCGTGAGCTACATACCGATCACGACAGCGAGCCCAGACAGCTCGAGCAGCTCCGGCTCCGGCACCGTGTACACGCCGGCCTCGAATACATACACGCCGGGCTCAGTGCCGCTAGACGAGAAGTTCCCGAGCGGGGTGCGCACGCCGCCACCGACGGAGCCGCCGACAAGCAGCAGCGCCGTGCGCGAAGACGCCCAGTCCAGCCTCCTGTCCCGCTCCGACTCGTCCTCCAACCTCTACGCGTACAGCGCCGCGGGCTCGAGCAAGCGCGGCGCCGGCTCCAGCGCCGAGCAGGCCCAGACGGACGGTGCGCTCGTCAGCGGCCAGCGCTATGCCCCGCTCTCGCAGCCCCAGCCCCAGCATAACATCAGCATTGAGAGCTTGCGCCGCAGCTCGTTTGAGGATGCCCGCCGCCGCAATAGTGTCGGCCGCTTGTGAGGCGATGTGTTTTTGGAGGTATTGTGTTTGACCAGCAGGGCGCTCGGCTGCTGGCCGCGCCGACGAGGTAGCTGGAGCTATCCGCGTCGCTGTCGCTGTCGTCGCCGTCGTCGTCGTCGCCGCCGCGACTGGGCTTCTACCTACTCACCATACGCGCGCGAACAGCACCAGCCTACCTATATCGCCGCTGCGACCGCGCCCGAGGTATGCGCGCCCCAGTGGCCGAGCCGCCTGCTTTACTGTTGTTTGTTTGCTGTTCCTTGTTGGCGGCCATGTCTTTGCGCTCCTACATCTATCTATCCATCCAGCCATCCATCCATCCAGCCAGCCATCCTCATCCCCGCTCCCCACGCATGCGTTTCTGCGCTCCTACCTCAAACACCACATTTATCGCCGCCGAAAAACAAGAACAAGTCCAAAAACAACAACATCCGCAACTTTGCGCAAATGTCGTCTGCCGTGTTGTGCGCGCAGTCGCTTGCGCTTTTTTCTGATTGTGGCTATCTCTACAGCTATCTCTCTGTCTGCATCGAGGGTTTGCTGCTTCGTTGATGAGAATCTTATATCTACATGTTTTCTTTTTCTTCTCTTCTTTTCTCGTTATCTTTTTCGTTTCTCTCTATCTTGCGCAACGCTTCACTAACGGCCGCTACGGAACGCACACTACCTTACCAAAAAAGAGGAGGGATGCTCGGGCGTTAAAAGGATACCCTGATTTTTCTTAAGTTTTATCATCATATCATCATATCATCATCGCCATATCATATCAAACATTTCCTACTGCTATTACAACTACAACTACTACAACATCATTGTCAGCAGAATTGTCAGCAGCATCGTTAGCAGCATCACCAGCATTGTCATCGTCAGCATCATACATACCCCGGACATCTATACCTTAAACATCAATCAACGTGCCCCCCCGAGCGCGAGATGAACGGGGCTCGCGCCTTGGTCTTGCTGGGGGGCGCAAGCATAGTTGTTCCTTTTTCTTTTCGTTTCTCGATTCACTCTTTTCACGCACATAACTCTCTCTGTTCGCTCAACCGCTGCATCTTCTATGAGATATTTATTGGTCTTGCGCTGTGAGAGAAGCGGTGTGCTGCGTTGGCGGCGCGATGGGTTTGAGAGCCGCCTTTTCTTGAGCTTGGGGTTAGGTTAGGGAGGTGTGTTGAAGGGGGTGGTGCGGGGTGCGATGTGCTGGCTTTGGCTTTGTACCGCGCGGCTGTGGGAAGGCATGGTGTGGTAAGGTGGCTGTCTTGTCCTGTCTTGTCTTGTTGACTCTGCTCGGCTCTGCTCAGCTCGGCTCTGCTGCCTGACCTGGCCTGGTATGGCATGGCATGACAACACACATCTCACCAGCCTCGCACGCGCTTGCACGCTGTCGACTTGGCTCGGTACGGGCGAGCGACTGGCTCCTCCTCCTCGCTCGTGTACATCAGCGAGGGCAGCCTACGACTTACAACCTACAACCTACAGCCTACAGCCTACAGCCTACAGCCTACAGCCTACCCTACCCTACCCTACCCAACCGCCACACCAAACACACCAAACACCGGCCATCCCCCGACTGGCTGCCTACCTACCTAGCCATGCATGCACAGACGCGTCGCCTCGCGGCCCAGCAGCCATATACCTAGGTACCTTGGGCGTTTGGAACTTGCGTTGATGGGCGAGGGATGCTGGACGGACGTGCATGGGTTGGAATGGAATGGAATGGTATAGTACCGGATGGGAGCATGGACGGGGGAATGGCGAATTGACTTGGTCTGGTCTTAACTGCTTTTCTTTTATTCATCTCTTTTGTCTCTCTTTTCGATTGGGTTGGGATTGGGGTTTGGGTACTGGACTGGATGGATGGGTTGGGGGATGGGTGGTGGGGGGCTGGTTTGGGCGTTTTGTGTTTATTTATCTTTATACTTTTTATTTGTTTTCTGGTTTTTGGTTTAGTGCGTTCGGTTGGATTTGGATTGGGCCGATAGGTGTTACTGTGGTGCTAAGGGTTGGGTTGGCGTGGCGTGGGTGGTTGTTTGGGCGTTTGTGATTGGGCGTTTGATGGATGTGGGATGTGGATGAGATATTTCCTCCGTCTTCTTTCTTTGATCTTTCTTCTTCTGTCGTTTTCGTTTCTTTTCTCTAGCATTATCTCTTTTCTTTCTCTCTCTTTTCCTTGCTCCTAAACCCCTCTGCCTGCCTCTCTTCCGTTTTTGAAGAGACTGGCTGACTGTCTGTCGATCTTGTCGTCTGTTCTGAAGCGGCCTATGTAGCCCCCTCTCCCCCCTTTCCTGTCGCGCTCTGTTTCTTGTATGTATGCGTTTGGCTGCCTGCACGAAGCACCTGCCTACCTTTACCCAACTCTTCCCCTTAAGATAGCGGTAGCGGAGCGGAGCTGCATGGTGTGGTGGTGTAGTAGCAGCCCAGCGCCTTTTCCGTACCTGTGTAGCGGACATTTAGTAGTTAGCAGCAGCGGCAGCAGCAGCGGCATTGTCGACGATGGAAACGAAAACAGTCGTTGTTTGTAGTAAGTAAAGTACGTAGCTAGGGGTAGTGTAGTGTTAGATAGGTATGTAGCTTACCTTCGCTCGCTTCTTTGTTCAACTATGGTGTGGTTGTGCTGTGGTGATCTTTACAACCCACCCCACTCAAACGAGAAGACCTAGCGGAAGCGGATGCTGCTATAGCCTCTCAAAGGCCCGTACGGGGATACCAGCCTACACGCCCTCCTAACAGCTCCTAAACTATGCATTCCCAAGCAGCTACAAGCCCAACATACCCTGCAAACTCCCCGTCATCAGCACAGTGCCATAACAACCACCACCAGCAGCCACAAAAGCCGTAGTTCGTCTGATAGTATTGCTGCTGATATACGCCACCATCTAAATATTCCGCGCCTATATCTCAGCAAATGGCGTGCTCAGTGAAACTTACCCAATACCCACGGCAGAGCAGGGCAGGCCCACCCGTCCGTCTTGTCGAAGATGTACTTCAATGAGGTTAGTGGTTTTGCACCGCTGATTGCCAATCAACTTGCTGGGTTGCTGCCTTGATACATTCATGATCTTGGGGGAGTAAGGAGCTTATATAGCTGCAGCTATCCAAGCACCAGACAAAACCGCTTCTAATTCACAGATAGCAGTACACCAAACCCCAAACCCCCACTTAACCAACCAACCCACCAACCAGATCCACACCACCTCAGCCCAGCTCAGCTCCGCACACCCAAAAAACCCAAGGACAAGCCGCCACAAAGCAGCCACAAAGAGCCAGAGTAATCAGGAGCGCGGGAGCAAACCGCAATCCACAAACAACAACCCGCAACCCGCAACCCGCAATCATGCACTACATTTTACCGTCTAATCCAATCAGCATGTCTGTCCTCTTTACCAATCACGTTCAATTACCTAGCACACGGCGCAACAAGCCCACAAGCACGCACGCACGCACGCTACACACCATCGTTTCATTCGCGTGGTTGTTAAGTTGTTTGGTAGCGTGTATACCGCATTCGAGCACGCCTAAAGTACACAGGAGAAACATTACTATATAAGGCCGGGAAGCGATTCAATCCGCCAGTGCAGCCGTTAAGCGTATGGCCTCTCGTTCCTACTAGTCTACTGGTTCGCTGGTCTACTGGTTTGAGCCGATAGGGTGACGCACCCTTGAGCGTGGTTCACCTTAACCGTCTGCCTCTCTTTTTGGAAAGTCTAAGTTCGATTCCTGGTTGCGTCAGTTCTTTTTTATTATCTTTTCGCAGGCTCGATATTTTCGTTTTTTATCTACTATATGTATTATAGGAATATATTTATTATATTAGTGCTTAGTATAGTCTTTATCTAGTTATTGGTTGACGTCTGCATAGGGTTGAATGCATTCATGCCTACACGACAAAAATAGACAAGACTCAATTCGACTAGATCCGCAAGTGAAGCCGAGTGATTGAAAGAAATCTGGAAGTTATTTGACTCTACCTACCCAAAAGTCCTGCTGCCGCATCCACAGCACGACGTCAAGTCAAGCAAAACAACAGCGTATTAAATGCTCTGGTTTGCTCTGTCCTGCTCTGCCTATCTTTCCGCCTGCCTGCAGCTAATGCAGCTATGCAGCTATGCCAGCAAAGCCAAGTCGTGCTAAGCTAAGCTAGCTAAGAAGCCCTGATCCGTTCCGCGCTACAGCAACCACCTCGCTAAGAATATATCTCTAGCGCGCCTAGCTAATTACTCAGACTCCTCGATCACGGCGTCCTCAGCAGGAGAAGAAGGAGCATCAACACCAACTTCCGTGACCTCCTCGACCGTCTCAACAGTCTGCACAGTCTGGACCTCCTTCGCGACCTCGACCTGCTCACCCCGCGGCTCCGCCTCAGCAACAGCAGCAGCAGCAGCATCACCCCCCTCCGCAGCCCTCAAAACCCTCACCTCAACCAGCTCCCCCCAATCGACCCACACGACGCCCTCCTCGCCCTCCTCCTCGTCCTCCCCATCCACGTCCATCTCAAACTTATCCAGCAGCCGCCGTCCGCGCGCGTCAAACCGCACCTCCTTCTTGGGTTTCCAATGCCGCTTCGCCAGCACGAACTTGACGTCCGACCCGTCCACCTCCTCGACCCGCGCCGTCCGCGCCTCCGTCAGCGTCGGCGTCCAGCTCGTCTCTGGCGACACTTCTAGCCGCTGGAACACGAGCACCGCGCCCGGGCGTGCGTCGGCTTGCGAGGCTGTGGGGAGCGTTGTCAGGTCTGCGGGAGGGAGGGGCAGGTCGTCGTCGGGCTCGGCTGCTGCTCCGTCGCCTTGCAATTCTTGCATGATCTGCGATTGCAGGGCTGCGTCGTCGGCGGCGTAGGCGTTGGTGCTGGCGTCGTTGGTGCTGGCATCGTTGTTTGCGTCGTCACCTTGCATCGTGTCGTCGTAGTCGAGCCCGGCCCACTCTTCGTCGTAGTAGCTTGCGTCGCCGTCGTAGGCGCCGTTGTCATACTCCTCGTAGTATTCCTCTTGCTTCGGCTTGGACTTGCGCTTGCGCTTCTTGTTCTTGGTGTTCGATTGGTAGTACTGGAACTGCGGGTCCCAGCGTTGCTGGAATGGGAACGATGGTGCCGTTAGCTCCACCTCTGGATACTTGCACTCAAAGGCAATTAGGTTGATCTTTTTCTTCCACAGATCCGGGTCTTCGGGTTCGGGCTGTTCTTCGACCTCCTGCTGGACCGGAGCCTTCTTCCGTTGCCTGGTGTTCATGTTGGCTGACAATCTGTTTCGGAGCTTGTCCTCATCTGCCTTTGTCTTGGGATTGCGGACTCCTAGGGCACCAAACAACAAGCGGCGAGTACTTCCCATATCCAGCTTGTTGCGTTTCGCTGCTGGTTCTTCATGGGCTGCAGCGGTCTCGGTGGAGGGAGCTTCTTTAGCGACGGGATCATCTGTCCTTTTGTCTGGTTCAATTGTGGGAGAAGTCTCAACCTCGGTTCGATTAACGGGAATTATGTCATCGGGTCGGGCTGTGTTCTCCAGCCCGCCAGAAGCGAGAGCTTCGAGCAACTTTCGACGTTTCTCTTCAAGCAATGCTTGGATAGGATCGTACTCGGCGTCGACCATAGACTCATCTTCCGGCTCGTCCCCATCGGCAGTCTGATTCCTCAGTTGCCAGTTACGAAAATCTGCGAGTGTTGCATTCAGCGGCAAGATACCTTTTGCTTTGAATTGTTTCATACGGGTTTGGTCACGGCGCCGATGGTTCCGATCTTGCGTTTGCTTCTTGCCTTGGCCGGGTGGCACTATTCGTTTTGCTGGCACTTGTCGTTTTGTTGGAAGCTCCTCCGGTTCTGACTCGGAGGTAGATTCGTCAGAACTAGATTCGTCGGAGCTGGATTCTTCGGAGCTGCTGCTCTCGCTGCTAGCGTCGGAGTCGCTAGAAGTGTCGGATGAATCGCTTGAGATGTTGACATGTGTACTTGAAGGGGTAGGTTTGTTTTTGATATGACGGCGTTCGGAATCGGTGACAAAACTCGTGGCGCTGGAATCATCCGAGCTTTCATCTGAGCTTTCTTCGACTTGCTTCTTTCCTACGTCGACCTCTTCGTCACTATCTGAATCTGACTCGGAAGATGAAGATTCGTCGTCGCCTGGCACATATTCTTCTTCAGACTCATCGTCGTCCGACGGCAGAGCGACCAGCGCTCGCGAGTCGGCCGCAGCTGGCTCTTCATCCTCGAACCGCACGCTCTTGTCCGACCTGTCGCAAGCCTCGATTCTCTGTCGCTTGCGCAGGGGTGGTCCCGGCGCATAGTCCGAGTCTGCACCGCTGTCGTTTTCTTGGCCTGAACTGTTTCTAAGATGTTTGTGACTTCGGTTGTTGCCGAGGAGGGCCGCGAACAAGTCGTCATTGTCGACATCGGGAGGGGAGTGAAGGGCGGGACGATCGAGCTTGCGCAGATTTGACCTGCCGAATGGGATACCGTCGAGAAGATGTTGGCCATTGGCATTGATTTGCGATCTACCCGACAGGTGGCGCGCGCGGAGTTCTGTGGAGGTCAGAGGCCGGATACTGCACATGCGTTAGAGTATTAGGGTTTTAGGTAGGTGAGATATCCATACCATACTTGGTCCTCGTCTTTTAAGATTTCGGTGACCTTTTGGAAGTGGAGGCATTCAAAGCCGGCAATCTCTACAACGTAATCGTCAAGACCGCGGTGGTCAGTTTCGAGCGGAAAGACGTCGTTGACATCCTCGAGCAATTTGGAGACGGTGAGAGTGCGATGGGCGCCGGCTTCGGGTACGAGCCATAGCAGGTCGGCCGAGGGCAGCTTGCTGCGCTGGATGGTGAGCCGTAACCTCATGGTTGCAGCGGCCCGGAGGTGAGAGTGTCGTCACGCAGCAGCGAAGAAGTTCGGCGATCAGCGAGAAGATCCCTGCTCGCCTTGCTCCCGCACTTGGGCCGTGCACGCGGGCACCAAAATTCACAAATCCTCAACACCAGCGCTGCACAACCGTACACAGCCTAATTCATCACCGCCATTGCAGCGTGCAGACTCTCCCAACGTTGGCGCATTGCTGCTTGCAAAATGGAATTACCTGCCGTCCTGCGGAGTCATCTATAAGCCGGCTCCTTTACCCGTCTATCCTGTCCCGGCTGCATGCTCGACTCTCCCGAGCCGCGTCTTCGCATGCACCTATCATGGCCTCGTCAAGGGAGCGTTTTCGGCCGCGTCAGGAAGCGAGGACACGTCGGTAGGTTGGGGCCGTGGTGCCTGTTTCATCTCTTTCGCGCTGGTTTGAGCAAGTTTCTGGGCCAAGACGGCGCCCGGTCCGGCGACTAGGGTGCCTCGACGCCTCTCAGCGCCCTCGAATTTGTCTTCGCACCTTTGCTACTCTTTTCCTTTGCCACTACTACCGGTCCGTCTCGTTTGAACCTGCTCAATATGATCATGCGCAAGTTTTACATTTGCGCTACCCATCTCCACGCTCGCCAAGACCACTCAAGAGCATGTTTCTCCACTGTAGATACTTATACTCCAATACATGATGCTCGTTTTTCCTTCGTCTGTCCACTATCTTTTTCTGCACTTCTGGTTTCACTCGTTCCGGCACGAGATACGAAAGAGCCATCCGTCATCTGAATCCATTCTTCCCTCCATCGGCTACCATGGTGCACCATCACATTCAGGATATGTCGACGGCGGCGTCGTTAGAACACCACTGGGGCTTTGAGGACAGGGCATTGCCGTGTGTGAGCGACAAGGGCACCTGCGAATATCTGGATGCTGTTTACTCCATGATCGACCTCACCATGCTGTATACGTGGATAATGTGGGCTGTTGTTGGCGGTGTGCTTCTGGTTATGGCCCTTCTCCGCTATATGAAACCAAGCAGGAGCGGCAGTCAGGTGGTGTCGAGCAAGCTTGACAGCGAAGCAGCGTTGCAGACAGTGTCACAGAGCAGCGTATACAGAGGGTACAGGGCCGTCGTTATGGCGTTGAGGAGATGGCTACTTCCAGAGACTCTCTTTAGCGTCTTTGGTCATGTCTCGAGACTCCAGGTTGCCGTCTTGGCCTGTACTCTGGTGTACCTCCTCATCTTCTCGTAAGTCGGCTTTCGAAGGAACACTTGACGTAGCTGACCATTTTAGCCTGGTCGGCATCACCTACCGCACCTGGGTTACTCCCATCAAGGCAAGCCCGGGGTTGTCCAACACTCGCTCCGGCATAGGCGGTTTCGCAGACCGCGTCGGTGCCTTTGCGTATGCGCTCACGCCGCTCACCATTGCCCTTTCTTGCCGCGAGAGCATTCTTTCTCTCATCACTGGTATCCCATACCACCATTTCAACTTCCTGCACCGCTGGACCGGTCGCATTATATTCGTTCAGTCGTTTTTGCACACGCTCATGTGGACCATTGTCGAGGGACGTCTGTACCAGCCACAGCCGACCAAATACAAGGAATTTATGGAGCAGCCGTATGCTATTTTCGGGGTCGTGGCAATGTTTTTCGTCACGTTTCTCTACGTCTTCAGCATCAAGAGCGTCATCCGGTGGACGGGGTACGAGTTCTTCAAGAAGACGCATTACGTCGTCGCGCTGCTGTACATGGGTGCGTGCTGGGGCCACTGGGACAAGCTCGCATGCTGGATGATTGCCAGCATCGGGCTGATGTTTCTTGATCTCGGCTGCCGCATACTGCGCCTCTGCCTTATCCACTTTGGCTACAAAGACGGCAACAAAGGTAAGGTCGTTTACTCACTCTCACCATCCAACGCTAACACCGCTCCAGGCTTCGGCTTCCGCGCCGCTCAATCCACGCTGCGTCTCTTTGATGACGGCGACGCCACTGTCCTGCGCCTCGACTTCCAGCACAACCACGACGCCTGGCGCCCAGGCCAGCACTTCTTCCTCTGCTTCCCAGCCCTCAACCTCTGGCAATCACACCCTTTCACACCATCCTCACTACCAGCGCCCCACCCCGCCTCTCCCCACCACACGTACCTAATCCGGGCCGAAAAAGGGGAGACACAGCGGCTCACCCAGCTCGCACGCACCCTCACCTCACCACCATCCTCCTCCGCCTCCTCCGCAACAGAAGCCGGCGAAAAAGCCCCCACCACCACCACCACCCCCATCATCCTCACTGGGCCCTACGGCCCCCCCGTCTCCCCCGCCCACGACGAAAACATCCTCGCCGTAGCCGGCGGCACAGGCATAACCTTCGCGCTGCCGATCGCGCTCAGCGCCCTCGCACACCCCGTTGCGGGGAGCACGCGCAAAATCGACCTCGTGTGGGCCATCCGCCGCGCCCAGAACGTCGCGTGGCTGGCGCCCGAGCTGGCCGAGCTGCGGGCGCGCATGCTCGCGGGCCGGGCGCCGGGGCTGCGCGTCCGCGTGTTCGTTACGCGTGAAGATGGCGCTGCGACGGCTGCTGCTGCTGCTGCTGCTGCTGCTGGTGTTGGTGTTGCGGGCCGCGACGCCAAGGCGCTGGAAGCGGGCGCGGATGTGATTGCTGAGACCGCGGTGGGCGGCAAGATGCCCCGCATTAGCGTGGACGAGGACGACGAGAGCGTTGCGGCGCTATTGGCGCCGTTTAGGTCCGGGTCTGCGTCCGTTGGTGGAGATGGTGGTGGTGACGGCGGCTTCGAGACGACGTTCCTGTGCGATCACCATCCGGGGGCGGGGGACGTGGTGGACGCGTTTGCGGAGCGGGTTGCTGGTGGTGGGGGCGCGTGCAGGGTTGTGGGGAGCGGACCCGCGGCTATGGGGAGGGATTTTCGGAGCGTGATTGCGGAGAGGTGTCGGCCTGGACGGGTGTGGAGGGGTGGCGAGGACGCGGATTGGGGGCTGGTTTGGGATTTGAGGTAGGCTGTGTGTGTGTGTGTGTGTGTATGAGGGGGAAGGCGATGGGGGGAGGAGAGGGGATACCCGGCGTATGATTTGGTTTTGGCTTTGGGTTCGGGTTTGGTCTGGTGAGTGGGGTGGGATAGGGAAACAGAAAGCGATGTATGCAAAAGGGCATGGTTGTATGCTACTGCAGACAAGGCTTTTTATGCATAATTAGAGCGACGCACATATATGCATGATGAATAGGATAGTATACGATACATATACCACGTCCTGAGAACTATTGCAGATACACTATCCACTAGATACACTATCCACTAGGTAGTATATCTTCAGTGATGATAAAAAAGCAGTCATGGCCTAATATATTATGTATATACTGTTTATTACTTCAGTGTTGACTTCCCACGTTTCTATCTCAGTGTAGCGGGCAAGTCTTGCGCGCTGCATCAGATCCGTTGCTACGAGGAGTCATGGTCGGGGAGAGTTCGCGAACTGCGTGACTTCCTCATAATGCTTAAACAGATACTTGAATTCAAACATACTTTTCTAGTATAGTATAGAATACTAACACTAACAATAATGATGGGGAACACAAAGCAGAAATACTAACCACTAGCACAAGCAGCAGTTACCACACACCGACAGCTACCAAAACCCAACTACGTACATAAACAAGAAATAAAAAATTATGATACTGCCACAGTAATAGACGTGCAGTTGTTTTCAGCCCCCCTTTTCGTTGAACCTAAGAGTGCTCTGCCCTTGCAAGCCAGTATGTTCGTGTCCTACCAGTCACAAAGTTGCGACTGGCCATGCTTGCGTCTGGCTGGAGGCTGGGTGGAGGTGCCTGCTGTGGGGTTTATAACTGTCTGCGCAGGTGATAAACTGCTATTTACGATATTATAGTATCGAACGACGCCACTAGCTGCGCGTATATAACTCCGCGTTGCTTAGCGTATAAACCACCACCGCGCCTATATACATACCTATGCCGATACTTATACACTCATGAGTTATTAGGTACGCTGTAGGAACTTTGCGGGTGTGCTGTACTGAGTAGTAGCAGCAGTAACTATAGCAACTACGTAAAACTAGAAAAACGCCACGTCCACGTCCACGTCTACGTCCACGTATAGTATACTGAAACGCAGTAGCTGCCTTTCTGCACTTCCATCCATAACCAAAGCAAAGCGGAAGCCACCACGCAAACCACTAAAAGACCGACATGACAAGCTCAGCTCAGCCGTCCGGCCACTTGCCTATAAGCCACAACTCCCGACCCCTCCCTCAGTTAAACCGCACAACACCTTACGCACCTCACCCCTCCTCCCACGAACCAAAATGGCTCGAGACACCTACAGTATGGGGAGAGGGTGCCACCATTTACTTTCCAAGCCCCAGTCGGCTACGCATGCACATCTCAACCCCAAACTTTAAGCTTAGGCAAGAAGTAGTGATATCAACCGTTACGCTCGTACAACACCATACATCAGCGCCGCGCTTTTATGACGCTCACCTCCACCCCTATACCCCACCAAGCCCTGCCAACAGCTCGAGCGTTCCACATAGCCAGACCCCCCTTCAACATCAGCTATGGATTTTCTGTTACTGTCTCTGCCCGGTGTCGTTGGGCCTTTAGGTTTGCTGCTTGGTGCTTGTTGTGTTGCACTGTTGTGTTGTCTTGTGCAGATTCTGTTAGAGGCGTGGCAGGCAGGTATTTATACCCCTCTACTCACACACTTCCATCACAACCCAATCCAAAGCAAACAACAAGAAACAATATAAAAAAAAGTACGAAATTAATTGCATCAAGCTGGCTGGGTGGATATTTCAGTGTATCCGTTTTTCCTTCCATGTCCATGTCTGTGTCTATGCATGTCCTTCCTTCCGGTGCGCCGTGCGTGCGCCTGTGTAGTTCTGCGCCCTGGTTCTTTTGGTTTTGTTGTTCTTTCGGCGTTTCTCCCCCTCGCCCACCCCATCCCCAGCATGCCTCCCTCCACACACCTTACCCAACACCCCACTACCGACCCCCCCTCAACGCAACCCTAGCCCTCCCACCCCTCCTCGGCCCCTGCGCCCGCTGCGCCCACCGCGCCAGCTCCTGCTCATCGAGCGCGCGCTCCTGCTCCTCCCCCAACAGCGTGCCCTCGATCGACACGAAGCCGCGGTCCTCGCCCGCGCGCGGCGCCATCTCCACGTCGCGCACCCGGAACGATATCTTGCCTGCGATGGGCGCGCCGCTGGCCGAGGTGTAGTAGCCTTGGCCTGCTGCGGGGGTGTGCGCGTTTGTGGATTTCTTGCCATCGGCCGCAGTCTCGTCGTTGTCGGTGGCCTCCTGGTAGTCGGAGGCCTCGCCCTCGCCCCCCTCCACCCACACCCAGTCGGCAGGCAAGCGCCGGCGGTCCACGCTCGCGCTGAACAGGTTCCAGCACACGAGGCCCAGGTGCGACTCGTTCTGGAGGTTGACGATGCCCTCGAGCAGCGCGCCGGGACGGGGGCGCAGCACGACGAAGTCGGCCGTCAGCCACGCGAACGAGACGGCGTACTCGTCGATGGAGCGGGCGAGCACGGGCGCGTGCGCCGATTTCCCTGCGGCAGGCGCCTCCGACAGCCGTGCGTTGCTGTAGCTGAGCACCACGCCGGACAGCGGCGGGTAGTATGTCAGCAGCAGCGGCGACAGGTGCTCGGCGCAGAGGGCTTCGAGCGCGTAGGACTGCCCGATGGAGGCGAGGGGGAGGTAGAAGGACGTGGTTTGGAGGTGGATGGGCGATTCGTCTGCTGCGTTTGTGGGAGCGGCAGTGCTGGTTACGGGGGCGGCGGCGCTGGCATGGTGCGAGGCGGAGGTGCGCGGCTTTTTGGTGGGCGACGCGTGCGCGGGTAGTTCTTGAGCGGTGGTGGTAGAGGTGGCGGCGGTGTCCTCGTCGCGGGCGCGCTTCTTGGAGGCCTTCTTCTCGGCGCGGTCTTTGGCGTGCTTGCGCGGCTTCTTGTCGTCGGACATGGCGGGCTGGTGCGTGTGGGTATAGGTATAGAGTCGTGGTGTTGAGGGCCGCACTTTTTTCCCGGCCGCGGGCGGTGAGGCGGGCGGCGAGCGGCAGAATTTGGGCCTTGCACCATCTGGCATCATCGCTGCTTCCTCCCGTCCCGCCGCGCTGCTCTCCCGCCGTCCGCGTAAAGCCATGGCCGGCAACCAATTCCTCTCCATCCTCGGCTGGTGGTTCGTCCCCACCGTCGTCGCGAAGCTGCAGTCGCTGCTCTACTCCATCTTCATCCGCGCCGGAGACGCGCACCCACCGCCCGGGAGTCCCAAATTCATACGACACCGCAAGATCATCCACGCCCTCGTCATCGGCGCCTACCTAGTCTACACCATCGTCGAGGCCGACTGGGAGCTGCAGCGCGCAGGCGACTTTTACACGGCGCTGGGCGCGGCGCCCGACGCCAGCGAGCGCGCCCTGCAGTCCAAGTTCCGCCGGCTGACGGTGCTGCACCATCCGGACAAGATCGCCGCGGCGGACGCCCGTCCCCAGGCCGAGCGCTACTACGTCTACCTCACGCTGGCGCGCGACACGCTCGTCGACCCCGCCAAGCGCTTCGCCTACGATCGCTTCGGCCCCGACATGCTGGCCTGGAAGCACTGCGTCTCGGTGCGCGACTTCGTCATGCACGGCGTGCAGAGCGCGGCGCCGTCGTATGCCGCCAGCGCCTTCGCCCTCGTCGTCCTCGGCATGCTGGGCTACCTCGAGTGGGGGCGCTACGTGAGTTCCCCAAATCCAACCTCACACCTAATATCGCTCCCGCTAACCCCACACCCCCAACACAGTGGCGCTACCTCGCCTTCGCCGCCATGCTCACGCTCGAAGCCTACGCACTAACGCGCCCAACCCTCCCCCTCCTAACCTCCGTCCTCAACCCCCTCCTCACACGCCTAACGACGCACGCGCCCCTCCTCCCCTACCAAGCCCTCGCCATCGCGCGCAAAGGCACCTTCGCCTCCTTCATCGCGCTCTCACAGCTGCAACCCCTCCTGCAAAACCCGAACAAGACGTCCCACGCCAGCGCGGCCGCCGAGGCTGCCGCCCACCACGAGCAGCTGACGCGGCTGGGCGTGCTGGCGCGCGGCGCGGACGTCGCGGCCGCGAACCTGCTTGCGCTCGAGACAATGCCGTTTGCGGGCGATAAGGCGAGGGAGCGGGATCTCGCTGCGAGGCTCAAGGATTGGTTGGTCCAGAATAGTGTGAGGAGTGATCCAGTTGTGAGGGATGCGTTGGGGCGCGCGGTGAGGAGGCGGAGGGAGGCGCCTGCGGGGGCGAGGGGGACGACGTAGGGGTGTGGTGTAGGGTAGGCTTTTGTGTTTTTTTTTTTTTTTTTTTTTTTGGAACAATAAGGCCTCCCCAGACAAAATTTATATATATATAAAAAATTTATATATATAAAGCGAAACTCCTACTATATTTATCTCCATGGTATACGGTATCGCAGACTCCTATATATCTTTTTGGTATTTGAAGTGACGTTTCTTGAGCGGACTCTTTGTCTCGGGGCGAGAGCTGCGCTCAGTGCATGGTAGGCGTGTTTGCTACGTATCGTGCACTCTTGAGGCCGTATTCGGCGCTTGCAATGGGAATAACTCGCGGCAAGATCTGCGACAAGTGACTGCATTGCGCGCTGCTGCGTCGCGGGCATACTGACAGAACGAAGACGCAACGCGGTGTTTTAGCCTACGTAGCTAAATGAAGAAGTAGGGTTTGCTGTTGGTGGTGCTGGTGCTGAGGGACTTGTATAGGACATGGCAGTCGTCGTTAGCATCTTCTGCTGTTTGTGAGTGGTATTGTGTTTGTGTTTGTGTGCGTCTATGCATGGGTCTTTGGTTGCGGGTTGCGGACGTCAGTTTGTCGAGCGAGGAAGAACTGTCCCACCCTAACTTCTCTCTTTCATTGCCCGTGTACCCGTCGTCAGAGTATCCTGCTTCGGGTGCGTTGGTTGGCATGCGTTGGGTTACTGACGAAAGAGTAGCGCTGTGTCGGCATATATAGTCATAGACAGCGCTACTTAACGAATAGGCGGAGTTGATGTGAGTGCAAACCTATCATGCATGCATCCTAGCTAGCCCCTAGCCATCCATACACCGTTATAGATGACCCAGAGGTCCACTGTAGAGACCTAGAGCTGTTGTCGTGCAGTGTCTTCCTGTTGTTTGTCTACCTGCGAACGCACCACAACAACAGATAACACACAAACCCTCCACTACCGAAGCTTCCACCACGCACCCCAGCCTCCTATACCCTTACTAAGCCCCCACCAGCAACCTCATCGCGCACGAACGTCCCCACCTCGGGGCTTGTCTGAGGTGGCTCACTGTGTCGCTCGTATGGCGCTGTTTCAACGAAGTCGGGAAATGGGCGACAAAGCTCTGAGCTTTGATAGAGCACGATAACAGGAGTTCTTGCTCTGTTGTGTTGAGCTTCGTTTAGGATCGCACGCCTATGGTGCTAGTGCTTGGCTGTTTTCCGTCAGTGTAGCGTTGAGGTGTGCGGAGTAGCTTTGTCGTATTTGAGGGTATTATTAATATGTGGGGCGAGTGCAGGAATAGTAGGATGGAAGTTGGCACTGTGGAGTGCGGCTGCTGTGTAGGGAAGAGGGTGGGATATATGCAGGTTCTAGGGAATAGTCGTTACCTGGCTTGAAAGCTTCACACAAAGCTCAAATCCCGTCCTAAAATGTGCGTGTGACCCACGAGCGTCCTCACCTTACCTGTCCGATCCGCTATTTTGGCGTGGTAGCTCTACTCGAGATCACCCGGCTACGCCTTCACCGGCTACGACTTTATAGTCTTTACGCGCACAGGAGACAGGGCTCTTCGCTCAGCCATCGAGCCCGAGCGTGTACTGTTAACAATGGCGTCGTCTTTACTCGGGACGTCGTAAAGTCTTTTGCTGAGCACACGACCTTAACGGACTTGACCGGGGATGAGCTCGAGTCCTGCGAAGTAGGCTGCTTTCGATGTCATTCAACATAGCCGTTTAAGGATGCAGTACTTCTGCGCCTTGTTTCGTTGTCCTTCATGAGCAGCGTCCGTTGAGGGAAATAAAATCCATCACTCCTACATGCAACGCCTGACGAGGTGAGCAACAGTAGGTAGTGCCAGACAGCCTGGAAGGCAGTCGCCCATATAGTTAGCATTAAGATATTCATCTCTTGTCTTCGCAGTTTGCCTCAATGAGCACCGTTGGCGTCACTGTGAAACTGTCAGCTTGGTACTTGTTGGTCGCGGTGAAAATGCCTACCAGAGTTCCCAAAGCAGACCCAGCAAGTCAAGGACGAAATATTCCTCCCGAACAACGACTACCACAGGGTCATACTAGCTTCAATACCAGGAATCTTCGAGAAGTGAAAGCTGACGGCACTGGTAAAATTGAAGAGAAGCCATCAAATCTTCCAAATTTCTCATGGGTAGAGCTAGTTCTCGCTACCTCATTGAATAGGGTACAATCTGATAGGATTCCCTTACCACATCATTGCCTTTCTACCAAAGATTCTTGAGATCGCTTTCCAGCAACCGCACCAGCTCCTCAATCCAATCCTTGTCCTTGGGGTAAGCCTTAGCCATGCTATTGTACCATTTCTTGTCCAATCTGAGACAATTCACGCCACCTTGACGCCCATTGCTTGCCGAGGTCGCAATGGGGGCAGGACGAGTAGGACCTGCAGTACGAGCGGGGCCGACAGTGCGCGCAGGAGTTGCGGCGTGGTTGGGAGAAACGGTACGCGCAAAACCCGGGGCACGAGGAGCAACTGTACGCACTGAAGTCGCGGCCTGAGCGGGAGCAACGGTATGCACTGAAGCTCCAGTACCAGCTGCAGGAGTGTCTGCAGAAGTAGCGGTACTTGCAGAAGCCGCAGCTTTGTCGAGAGATTCAATGAGTTCAGACGCCGTCATACGAGGACGAATAGTGCGCACAAAAGGCTCAGTACGCGCAGATGCTGATGTGCCCGAGGAAGTGACAGTACCTGCAGAAGTCATAGTCTTTCCCGGGGCCGCAGTGACAGCAGAAGCCGTGGTACCTCCAGCCGTAGTACCTCTAGCCGTGACACTTCCAGCTGTACTCCCAGCGGTACCTCCAGCGGTACCTCCAACCGTACCTCCAGATGTCCGTGTAACTCTAGAAGCTTCAATGCCTCTTGAAGCTGCACTGCCTGTAGTAGTCACGGTACGCTTATGAGTCATAATACGTACGGAAGCCATAGTACGCACAGAAGCCGTAGCTCCAGGAGCCGAAGTACCTGCAGAAGCCGCAGAGGCTCCAGTAGCCGGCTTCTTCTGCTGCACCGCTCCAGAAACGGACTTCTGAAGGCGACCCTTGAGCAGTTGACGCTGACGTTGGGCCTCAGCAATTTTCCACTGGTTCGTGTCTGACAACTTCAAGAAGTTCTCATTGCATGCCTGCAACATTGCGCGCATCGAAGGGCTGAGCTTGTGGGTATAAGGACATTCTGGCCTGTGCCTGCAGCTACCTCCGAGGTGGAAGGCTCTGCAGAGTCCGCGAGGAACGGGTTTGCCATGGATCTCTCTCTCGCATTCCTGGGGAGCACCTTTAGGGCGGATTACCAAACTCTTGTCGCTGACGGCGTTGGCATCGTTGCTTGGCTGGGGTTTGGCTTGACAAACGAGGGCGTTTGGCATGACGGGAGCGTCTGGAATGGCGACGTCTGACGTAGAGACGTCCGGCATGGCGGCGTCTGTCTTGACGGGAGCTTTTACTGTCAAGGGAGCCTTTGCCAAGACGAGAGCGTTCGACATCGGAGCGTTCGGTACGGAGGGAGTGTTCATGTTCGGAGTACGACCACTTTGATCGATGCTGGGGTTGGCATGAGGCTCTGATCCTCCCCGAGTAACGGGAAGTGGCCGTCCGCGCGATTTCGACGAGCCCTCTGGCATGGCAGACATGCGCAACCGACTAGCTTTGCGTCTCGCATTGGAGTGGCCTCTGGAACCCGCCATGGTGTCCTTCGATGTCTGGGAAGAGACGGGTTGTCCGCGTTTCTGAAACCAAGCGACACGTTTGGCGTCAAAAGCCTTCCACAAGACACTGCCGCGCAAGAAAGGGCTCCTGGCAAGGCCGATGTCAGAGTCTGGGTTATCATCAGTCAGTGTCCGAGCCTAAAGGTGCGCCTCTATTCAAACTCACCGCGCTCAGGACCGCCATTACGAATCCAGCATTCGCGATAGTGCTTCCAGAAAGTGTCTTCGGCAGAGTCTGGAGCGAAGGGGCTGTCAGGCCAGATAGCTGGAGGCATACTGAATTGTTTCTTGTCTAAGGGATCCGTCAGTAGTATTGTGGTATATTCTCGAGTCGTGTCGGTCCGATGGATATTGGTGTGAAGAAGACTTAGAGCTCACCTTCACTCGGGAGCTGGTCGCCGCTGTCTGTACCGCTCATTTTCGTGGTTTGTTGTGCGTGGTGGGGTGCAACGAAGGCAAACGAAAATAATAAAGGCAGCTGCCCGGCGCACGGCCTTGTCGCCCGATCGGGCAAAGGCGGCTCCGTTGGTTTAACATCGGGCCCTCACAAACCGTCTCGGAATATGTACCTACCCGTAACACGTCCCCAGGGAATTGGATAGTCTTCCCTGCATTCGTGTTACTTCATTTTCAGCCATTTAGTGCCTTTTTTTGAAGACGCTTTGAAAATTATGGAACCCAAAGCCGAATTTCGAGAAACTACTGGTCACTTTGCTAACCAGACCATCCCAAAAGCTCACTGAGCCTGTAATCTCAGCCGTACAGTCTTATGGATCTGACCGGCCACCTCCCCGCACCCAGCAGAGAACCCAACCCGTCCACCCAAAGTCTAGCTACTGACTTCAGCAACATCAACCCTCCATCACCCCTAGCGGGAGATCGTCCGTCAGTACTACGTGAGGTTAGAGTTATTGCTCGGAGAGGGAGAGGGAGGTAAAGGGAGAGATATAAAGAGAGAGAGAGAGAGATGGAGAGAAAGAGCGCTGAGCGAACTAAATGGTCTACCGCACCCACAAATCCTGCAAACTCCCCAAGGCCAAACAAAAGTAATGTTAGCGTCAGAGCACTTCATCGAACTTAGAATGAGAAATATTTCGTATCGTCAGCTATCAGACCATGCCATCCGCTTTAAGCCCTGAACCATTCTATAGCAACCTTGATTGATAACTGCAGCATCTGCAGCAACCGAGCACCGATCCCAGCAACCGCAGCCTTAGCATAGTGCATACTCAAAGAACCTGCCAACATTAGCCATCGTCCACTTCCATCCACGTCCGTCCGTCATAAACTCACCTCAGCAATCGACTGCTTCTCAATAACACTCTTCTGCTTCTCATTGCGCGAGACGCGGTAGTAGTAATCGCTGTAGTCGCCACAATTCATATACCGCAGAAACTCCTCGTCGTGCGTAATGACAATCAGTTGGAAGTTGCGCTGCTGCCGACGGACACGGATAATCTCCGACAACGACTCGGCCAACGCCCGGATATTGTCACGGTCCAGATTCGTCGTAGGCTCATCCAGAGCTATCAACCCGCAGTTGACACCAAAACATTCGGCCAGCGCCAACCGAATGATGATGCAAGCCAAAACCTTTTGTCCTGCACTGCAACGACCTCGCATGTCCAGTTCGGCATCTTGCTTGACCATCACCACACGATAGTTGTAGTTGCGGTTCTTGTTCATAGTCTCGGCTTCGGAACGAATCAAAATCGTGTCGACATCAGTACCTTGATAAGTCTTCTTCCACAACTCCTCAATGATACTGTTAATCTCTTCCAGCTTGAGACTGTGATATTTGACAATGGCCTTGTCGAGCGCACCGCTATAGCGAGACAAATCCTCCAGGGCGGCCTTGGTGGTTTCGACCTTGACGTGTGATTCCTTGTACTTGTAATCAGCGTCCTTATAGTCAGTATCCCAATCCTTGATCAATTGCTGCAATTGATCGTCTTTGGATTTCAAGCTTCCGATGATGCTAGCTTGCTCAGCACTCAGTCTGTTCCGCTCGTTTTGCCATCGGCTACCTTCACGTTCATATCGTTCCTTGTCGGCTTCGGCATTGTGCGTTTCGAGCTCCTGCACCTCCGCCGTGACAATTTCAAGTTGAGCGACTTGAGCACGGAATCGGATGTTGTCAGTAATACTCCGTTTCGTGTCGGTGTGGTTGCGGAGTTGATCCTCAATCTTCTTGACGTCCACCGTGATTTGGCGCTGTTCGCCTTCCATGCTCTTACTACTCTCTTCCAAACTCTCAATCTCCCGTCTGGCTCTAGTGAGCTGCTGTGCGCCACCCCTGTCAATATATGCGCTAATGTCTTGATCTGCCATCTTCAGCTGATGGACGCTGTCTGACAACTTCGAAGCTTCCTTTTGAAGCTCCTTCTCTTTCTCCGAGCCACGCCGGCTAATTTCATCGTACTTGGCTTGAGCTTGCTCGACTTGCGGAGCCAAGTTTTGAATATCTTGGTCAGCCCTGCGCAGGGAATTGCGGTGGTCGGTGTTTTGTGTCCTGAGCTCTTGGATTTGGCTTTGCAGGTTGCTCTTCTCCCTCAGTTGATACTTCGCCGTACTGAGCTTTGACTTGATATCCCTCAGCTCCAACTCCAAGCTGTTAATCTGGTCCCTAATCCTCTCCCTCTCCAGGTTCAAGTTCGTCAAAGTCCCCTTGACGTTTCTCGACTGCTCATTGTTGTCCTTGAGAGAATCTTGAATCTTCTCGAGACCTCTAAACGATCCGGCTTGCTGTTGCTTGGCAGACAACTGTTTAATCTGATCCTCGAAACCACGAATTTCCATGTAGTATTTCACGATGCTTTGTGACGTCTTCGACATCGACTCAACATCCCTCTTCGACTCCAGACGTTCGTGGACCGCTTGATCCTGCTCTTCAAGACTACCGACAAGGTTCTCATGGCGAGATTCGAGAGTCTGAGATTCCTTCTCCAAAGCCGGAATGTCTTTTTGCATTAGCCGTGTCCAATTATCAAAGCTGGATTGCCTCTCCAGCAACTCTTTCAAGTCTTGTTGATACCCCTCGAGCTGTGTCTTTTCAATTTCCTTGGCGGCATTCGCGATCGCAGCCTCAATCTTCGCCTTGAACCTCGGCTTCTCTGCAGGCTTTATAGGACGAGCACAGAGGCGACAAGAATCCTTCTCTTGTAGAGTCGTCATGCACTGCTCGAAATACTCCTTCATCCGACCGAAGCTGGTAGAGTCAGACTGGGCAACATCCACCCATCCCTGAAACTTTTCAAGGACCTGAGGAAAATCTTCCGGTCCTTGGTTCTCCTCAAAAGCTTCGGCCTCCATGATATGATCGTGACAGCGTTGCAACTCATCACGCTTCCTCTTCAAATCCTCCTTAATGTTCGTGAGTTGATACTGCACCTGCTCGAGTTCGCGGTTGGTTCCATCTCGTTGAAGTTCAACTTCCCTCACGTCGCTGGATTTTTGCTCCAGTACTGTCTGAAAGTCGTGTTCAAGCGTCCGAGGTTCCCAAGATTGACCGACAATCTCCGAAAGTCGATCACCATGTGCACCCCTCATCGTCTCGAGGCGTCTCTTCCTATCCTTGAGCTCTTTCTGGACAAAATCGAGTTGTGCCGAATCACCCGCACGGCGAGTACCCTCAACCATTTCCGCGTCAAGTCTCTCCTTCATCTCCTCAATCTCATGTAACTGTTTGTTGGCATCACGGATTTTGCCATCTAAATCGCCGCTGGCAGCCTCACTTTTAACCTTCTGCAGCCGCTGCTCAACATCTTCAAAACTCGACTCCAACGCAGCTTTTCCCCCTTCATCAATGTCGATGCGGTCAAGATCAGCTTGGAAGTTAGAAGTCTTCCGATCGTTGCTCGATATCTGTAACTTCGAGTTCTCCTTACTCTGTGTGAGAGCGGACTTGCGTTCGTTCAGCTGGTTAAGAGCTCTCTGCGCTTTCTGCAACTCTTCTTGCGTTTCGCGGCGAGCACGCTCAAAAGCAGTCTGCTGATCTCTCGCCATCCTTCCAATCTTCTCCATGAAATCTCTCACGCGCTCATCCGTGACTTCAACATCAAATCCCCTAATGTTGTGACGACGAGCAGCTTCTTTGATCAGGTTCTCCCGGTTCTGGATTTGACGCTCATACTGATCTTTTTGAGCTTCAAATTTTCCCAATTCGCTCTGCTTGACTCCCAAAGCCCGTCGGTTCTGCTCCATATCCCGGGAAAGTTCAGTGTACCTCTTCTTATGTTTCTGCGCATCCTGCTCGTACAGCGCAACGCGTTCCTCATAACGATCAAGATGCTGCTGAAGTTCCTCGTCGGTATCGGTCATTTCCTTGATGTTCTGCCGCAAATCTGCAACACTCCTGGTAACTGCTTGAGCCTCGATTCGTTTCCCCTCGAGCTTGGCAACAATCTTCTCAAACTTGGCGGCATGATCCCAAGCTTCACGGGAATTTCTTGAAGCATTCTTGACCTTCTCATTCAGCTCTTCGGTTTGCTTCCGAAGGATTTCAATCTCATCATAAAGCTCCTTTGACCTTTTCGATGCTCGCTCGCCTTTGTCTTTGTCCTCTTTCGCATGCCCTTCGATAATCACGTACTTGGCAAGCTCATTTTTATGATGTTTGTAGAGTTGCTTCATGTGGTGAATGGCATGAGTGTACTTGAGGGCTTCGAAAATCGCATCAAACTTCTTCTTGAGTGTAACGGGCTCGCTCAAAGGCCACAGACTATCTTCCTGGTGGCAAAAGATGACAGAATCGAGAATGGCAGGCGAAATGCCCAGGTATTGTGGAAGTACTTGGTTAAGTTCGGCAACTTTGGAGGAAATGGATGTCCGCTCGCCATCTTTGATCATGAGCAGGCTGCCCTCAAGCGCTCTCATGGATCGGGTAAGCTTCGAGCCTTGCTTTTTAACAAGAAGTTGGAGGCTGCGGGTTGCCACCATCTTGGCACCCGAAGTAGATTTGAAGGAGATTTTGACCTGAGCCAAGACTTCCTTTTCATTGCAAAGCTGCGTCATGTCAGCCTTGATCTCTTATATTGAGTGAAGACATACACTGGGGTCATGGACGAATGATCTGCCTTTGTCGCTGCTGGCCGGTAATACGCCGATGGTGGCATATTTGAGAGCTTCGATGATTGACTGAATGGTAAGCGAGCTGTGCGATGTGCCTAGGACCCGGTAACTCACGGTCTTTCCCGAACCGTTCAAGCCGACGATCAAAGTCAGAGGGGAGTAAAACTGGATGGTCTCGCTCCGGGTGTTGTCAAAGGAGCGGACGCTGTGTTGTCAGTCAGGCACGCCAAAGGAGGAAGCGGCTCGACTTACCCCAGAATAGATAGTTTGTCGACGTACGCTGGTAGTCGTTAGCTTGGTGAACGGATTGCGCGTTCGAGACAGAGTAACTCACACCTGCATAATGTTAGCGGAGCGACGGGAAGCTGATCAAGAGACTCACATTGTTGCAGCAGTCGTCGTCAACAGAAATGTTGAGAGAAGCGTAGAGCAAGAAGCGTCGTGGTGTTTCGGCGCGGTTAGGCGCGATGCGCGGTGCTGGTTGGTGTCTAGCGCTAGGCACCCACCGCGCCAACGTCGCGCAATCACGTGGGGAGAATCCCTTAATTCCGTCCCGCTCCCGTGGGCAAGCGGAGTCAAATTACGGTGGAGGCGAAAGTCAGTGGAGAGCAGCCCAACCACCCGGTACAAACTACTCCAACGCCGTGAACACTGAACGACTCAAGTGCAGGGACACAGGGACTCGGATCGCTCTGCTTGGGCACGTTTCTGCCCAGAGGATGAACTAGCGGGTTGCCCCACGATCGTATCGAGTGAATCGCAGCTAGCTAGACGTTATTCGTCAGTGGCGTCCATCGAGTGTGTCAGGGTTCGCTGTCTGCAAAACTCGGCTCCGCGCCCTGCCAGAGCCAGACCAGGCCAGTGTCAGTGTCAGTCGCTCGCTTTCTTTCTCTCCTCCCGATGCCCATCGCAGCCCGGCCTATAACTCCCAGTCCCGAGTGCATGCACCATGTACCAGAATGGCGGCGCTATGCCGGAGGTGAGTTGCTGGCATCCCAGTCGGTCGTCCGTCGCTGACATGATGCACCCAAGGTTGACGGTATGATCGGAATGCCCATGAATCTCTCCATGGACCAGACGGGTGATCTGATGACGGGCCTCGACATCGACATGCTGCCGGGGGATCTCGATCTCTCACTAAACAATGCCGAAGCCGACGTTCAGACGCAATCGTTGTACAATACCCCGATCGCCGCCCAGCCGCAGCGAACACCCTCGACCCCGGCCGATGCGCCCGACGCCTACGCTCTCACCACCAACGTCCAGAACAACTTTCCCATGTCGGGCGTCGGCGCCGGTCCCCTGCCCACCGGCTTCGGCATGCAAAACACAAACACCTCGGGAAGCACCCTGACCGAGTTCACCAAGCGCCGCAACTGGTCGCAGCGCATCATCGAGGAGCTTCGCGATTTTCTCCACATCCTCACCCCAGACGGCCGGATACTGTACGTGTCGCCGTCGTGCAAGGCCCTCACCGGCTGGGAGCAGTCGCAGCTTGTCGGCCGGACCGTCGTCGAGTTCATCCACAGCGACGACTCGGGCATCTTCATCCGCGAGTTCAACGAGTCCGTTGCGTCGCACAACCCCCTCCGCTTCTTCTATCGTTTCCGCAAAGCGGATGGCACCTACATCATCTTTGAGTCGCACGGCCACCCTCACTACGACCAGCCGAACCCGGCATTTGGGGGAAATGACACGGCATTCATGATTTGCCGCGGCTTCTTCCTCATGGCTCGACCGTATCCGATTAAGAACACGTCGTTGCTCGATTCTTTCCTGGAGCACAAGATTGAAAATGAGCGATTAACGAGAAGGATTGCAGAGCTCAAAAAAGAGGAGACGGAAGAGCAGGAGGCGCAAGACAGACAATGGGCCAAAAAGACCGATGGACAGGGCAGCGTTACCCCGTCAGACTCCCAAATGGGTGGGACGTCTCCTGCGCCAGCGAGCGCTTATAGTGGCATGCCACCCCCGGCTCGGCCAAGTCTATCGAATATAGCACTGACTCGGCAAAATCTGGATGAAGCGTTAGCGGCATCCAGGCCTGACAGTATCACTGACAAAATGGCGCGTTACGAAGGTGCCACGCATATCGACACGATTGAGATGCTCACTGGCTTGCGTTACCGCGACGGTGAACGATCTCAGGGCATCAGTACCGGAGACACGAGCCCTGCCCTGATCAGAGGAGATGCCGGTATCGCAATTGTAGTCGACAAGGACAACCGAGGCCATGCGGACAAGAAGAAGAAGCTCAAGATTGCGGATGAATATGTATGCACGGACTGCGGGACCCTGGATTCCCCAGAGTGGAGAAAGGGTCCAAACGGGCCTAAAACGCTGTGCAATGCATGTGGATGTAAGTTGCAGCCATCCTTCCCACGAATGAAACTAACATCCGCAGTACGATGGGCCAAGAAAGAGAAAAAGCGGCAAAGCATGAGCGGCCCCAGCGGTCAACAATCAGCTCCCCCTCCGCCCTCCTTGCAGATGCAGACGAGCAGTGGCAGCGGCTAGACCGCCTCATTTGATGAACAACTTTGATTTTAAGCAACAAATACCCCTCCGCGCATCTTCTATTAGGGAGAACTGCCGCCCGCCCGCGAGCCCGCCCGGGCCGCATCGAGTCGGCAGAAACGGATGTAAAAATTCACAAAAAGCCTCCGTCGTGGTTGAGCAGTGATGATTTGGTCGGAAGAAGTCTGTTCTAAAATATGCGGCGATCTTGAAGATTTTGCCTGAGAATTTCTGCCCGGCTGGTGGGGATGAGAGATGAAGGTTTACGGATAATGACAATTGTATATACTGACGGAGCTTGGATGGATCTACATTCAGCGTTTTAAGCCAAGCTTTGAGGATTATATCGAATACAATATTTAATTCTTGTGTACGTTCTTGGGGTTGGAGCATGAACAGTTCCATTGAAAAGAGGATGAGCATCGATTTACTTTGTGTATCCTTCAATTCTCGTTTTGTAATATGGACGCGCAGACACATCCCATACTTGTACCGTTAAACCGTTTGCGCCGTCTATGCTTCCCAGTTGCTGATGTCTGGGTGTCTGTACTGCAATACCGTATACGCCGTCCTGAAGCCTTCAATGCCCAAGCCACAAGAGTGGGACCCAGGGACATCCGTCTGCGCCGTATCCATGCACGAAGCATACGTTCCAGCAGAAAATGCTTCGCAGCAACACAAGCTTCCCAGAGCGACCTCGCCATCACGAGCCTCGCCACAATCCAGCCAGTCAATCCCTCGCCACCAACTCAACCCGTCACAAACTCCTTCTTCCGCTCCATCGTCCCCTCAATAAACCCTCTCAACGCCTTCCACCGATCCCCAGTCGTCGCCGCCACAGGCGCCTGCGCCTGCGCCTGCATCTGCTCGCCCTGCGGCTGTCCCGCACTCATAAGCGCCAAGTTGCGACCAAAGCGCTCGCGCTCCACACGCTCAAGCTTCTCCTTCCTCTTCAACGCACCAGGCCTACTTTTCAAGCTGCGCTGGCGAATCACAGCCTGCCCGACCTCAACAGCACCATCCTCGTCGCCATCGCCGAACCCAGCGTCCGCGGCATCGGGTAGCGCGTCTGCGAGCGACGACAGCGTCGTCACGAGTTGCTTGTTCGGGCGGCGCCGCTTTTTAGAGCCGGAGCCTGGCGCCGATTTCTGCACTTTGCTGAGCAGCAGCGAGTGCTTCATGTCGCGCTTGTCTTTTTTTGTCGCGTGGAAGTTCGTGAACGGCGTGTCGAGGACTGGGCCTGAGGGGGTTGGGGCGCTGGTGCTGGGGGTGGGTTTGCTGCCGCTGCTGGCTTTGGCGCGCAGGGATTTGCGCTTGCCTTGTGTGGGTGCCTGGCGGGTATTAGTTGGAGTGAGAGGAGGAGGAAGGGAGGGACGGAAGTACCATGGTGGTGGTTGTGAGGGCGCGTGGTGTCGTGGGTGTTGGTGGTTGTCGGGTTCGAAATCTTTTGGTAGGTTGCTGGAAATCTGGGGTAGGGCGCGCTAGCGTCGCATCGTGGGAGACGTGCGACGCGACTTTGGATTTTCTCCAACAATTTGATGGGTTCGTTACTGGTGGATTCCTCACTTTGGTATTTTGAGAACCTTTCACCGCGCTGTTACTATGGCTAGAATTTAGTATCTCGATTTGGATAATTTGAGCAATGATAGATCGTGAGAGCATCATTTTGTACGCTACCGACGGAAGTCTTTGAGTAAACTAGAGACTAGTGAACAGAAAAACCCCTCCAGAGTGGACCAGAACGTATTCGCCTGTCTACATTATGCAAGTGTGTAGTGAGCCTTATATTGCGCGGCGGAACTTATGGTAAATGGTGCATCACTTCCGTCACTCGCCGCTTACCCGGATCCGTTCACACGCAGAGTCGGACCAACCATCCTATTCAGGGCTACACGGCTCCAATCAGTCCTCAACTGCTGGATTTCTTCCATAAATCGTTCTGAGGTTACTCTTCCTGTCTTAAGGCCAGTCTCCCTAATTCCACGCTCAGTGCAGCCGACAGCGGCCAGCCTTGTAGGCTTATTGCAGCCATTCTCAGTGTAGGTGAAAAGCTGCTTCATGCTCAGACTCCGAAGTGTGATCTTCCTTGACGACGGTAAGATTTGTTTTATCAGGGAGGTGATGTTTAATTTTCCATCAGTGTAAGTCCAGTTTTCAGATAAGCTGTCCCAGTTCAGACGCGCTCTTCCTTTGCGTTGCTGAAGACCCCTAGGCTTTTGGCTGAGAGTGCTATGAAGATACAAAACTACATGTTTCTCGGATGCTCAACATGTAACATTTTCAAGGACGGGTCTATCCAAAAGTATCCTGCTGAGAGAGTAAATTCCGGGTAAGACACCGGTGGAATGGTGGAGCCAGCTACCTGGGCCGCTTCAAAAAACAAACCCTTGATCAGGTATCATTCCGCGTACCTATTAAGAGTCAATTCATCTTACATGCCTGGAAGAATATCTTGGGTGGCGGCCTGGTGGTCCTATAATGCACCGGAAGTCAGCCAACTTCAACAGCAAACAGACTGTCACTTCATAATCTAAATTGTCTTATTCATTTAGCACATACGACCACAGGTCATAGAATACTGGGCATCCCGTCCGCTCTGCCATACATAAGCTATGAACCGGCTGATTAGTAGTTAGGTGGGTGACCACTAGCGAATCCCAGCTGTTGTATGTTTTAATTTTTGCTTCATCGGACTGAATATATCATTTTGCACATGTGATATTATGCGCCTCGACGTGACGGCTACTAAAACTCTGTTAATGGATTTCCAACTTTTGCTCACTTATCTTTCTCGGAGCTCGCAATGGGCTAACTGTCCCTTCAACACCAAACCCGATATGACTCTCATCGAAACCGTCATGGGAATAACTCCGCTTCTGAACAATACCAAATCGAAGCTTCGTCTGCGCTATATCTTCTGCTAAAGGCTGGCAGCCGAGTGTGCGGTCACCGACCACTTCTCTGATCTGTAAACGTCAGCATCAGCTCGAATGCAGGTGTCCTTCACACTTACATCAGGATTCTGCGTGGTGCAGATGATGGTCGAGACCATTGAGTTGTAGCTTATGCCGTTCGACCTGAAGGCGTATGCGCCCATAGAGATTGTGAGCAAGGTGCAGATTGTAGCGGCACCGTAGGCGATCAAGAGGTTCTTTTGTTCATAGGTGTAGACCGTCACCCGTTCTTCACGACTAACAGGCCGTTCGATCGTTGTGCTGTGATAGATTAGCCACGTCCGTACAATGCCTCATGGTGAAATACCTAAAATAGTCGCTGGTCATTAGGTTCAGCGTAACGTTTTGAGCGTATTCCTCAATCATAATTTTCAAAGGTTTGTGGGTCTCTTTCAAGGTGTTATTAACCCCCGAATCGGTGTTCTGGAACATTGCAACGTATTCATCAGATCCTGTAAGGACAGTTTCTCCGATTGTTGTTGTCCGCTGCGTATCATTGGTGTTGTACTCTGTAACAGCCACTATATGTCCCAGTAGAGGTTTCGTTATTCCGGTGAAGAATGACGTGTAGAGGGCTTGGGTTAAGTTGGTGGGTGACTTCCTTCTTTCCTCAACCCAAGATTTGTCGTTAGGATTAAGAGTCCATGAAGTAAGCGTATTGAGAACGGTGTTGAGTAATTTGATCTCTGTCGGCTTGACGGTTTGAATATTGTCTCTGGTGGTAACGTTGACCTTCCAAGTGGCATTCCATAGCTGGCAAGTGATAGACGATGGCCTGACATCATTCGTGACCGGGTCGTGGTCTTCAATAATGACCCTAAGCTCATTCTTCTCTGTTTTATATGTGGTTTCGTCCAAGCTCGATACCGTCTCCTGTACAGGGTCTGCAGCGCTTTCGAACGGAATTAGGGCGAAGTATTTTATACTTTCCGAATTGTACAGCATTTTCAGAGGATAGTATTGGTAGCCACGGTAATTGATGAGCTGCTCGAAATCGATCCCGGAGATGTTAAAAGGATAAGGGTTTTCTTGCTTAGAGCCGCCTATCGTATGGTTCATTGAGATAACGGCGGAAATTGTCGTGTTGCGTGCAACCTCCGGGGAAGACTCCTCACATTCAACCTTTGGGGCGATAAATTCCACGGAGTAGCTTGAGTTTCCTTCTTTGAATGGTGATGGAATGTTGAAGACTTGTCCGGTTGTAGCCGTTGATTGAATTAATTCCGCGAGTTGAGGTGAATTATCATTCAGCGCAACCAAGACAATTCCCATCAAAGAAATGTCCAAAGATACCCATTTTGACAATGCTGTTTTTGAGTCATCCTGTAAAGTGGCAGACAATGGATTCAAAAGAATGTTCTGTGGCATTAAAGGGACTCGAACGTTTGCGAGGGAAATGCTTTGGTGAGAGCCGGCTTTTACAGACAATGTGGCAGGAGTTACAAGTGCAATCAGTGGTATACACCTGGTCGAGTCAGTATTTGCCATACCCTTAGGTAGTTGGAGCCAAACCATATAACAACTGCAAGCAACGCCCCAACTCTTATTTTTAGAAGCATTTCGAGGTTTAAAAATGAGAGCAGTGTCTCATTCAACGAAAAGGCAGCGTCAATGCCTCGGATGCTAATGTATTCCCGTCGTACGGTTCTCCATAACCATTGGGTGAATGCAATCTGTGCCGCACTGCAGAAGCAAACCTTTGCGAGGAAAGCAAAGACGTTTCCGAATCTAACAAGTCAGCTATAACTATCAAAATAGAACCGGAGCAGCTTACCGAAGCGCCCATTGTTGCCTATTAGTGCTCAGAACAATCTGGCCATCCAGCCATGTATAATAAAAGTGATGGCCGAGAGAGAATGCGATCCCAAGGAGAAACGTGACCATCATCATGATCGGAGCCAGCAGATGGAGATTCCATAACGAAGACTTGAGACATGTACCGGTGGTTTCAATCTCGCTTTTGGTCATGGGATTTTTGTGAATGAGTGGGGCACCACTGGGAGACACGTGCTCTGCTGGACTGGGCGGTCGTCCATCATTCGAAAATAGTGAACGAGAATGGTTTGTCGTTTGCGGAGGTTCTAATTCGGAGTCAGACCGCGATCGAGTGCTTCCATCGTATGGGTGCGGCGCAGCCTCTCCGGTTGTTAGAGGCATAGTAAGCAGGAGGAAAATTTGCTTGCGAATGCTGCATCAATCACTGCGAAATGAAGCTTCAAGTAGTCAGTCTGACGCCAGCTCGGTGAGCATAGGGATAGGTCCACCAGTCAGCTCATAAGCTGCAGATGGGGGCCGATATAATTGCTTTTACAATGGAGCTTTACCCTTTCTTAGCAGTACGACCGCAGTACGGATATACACACGTAGATAGGTAAGATGTCTCCACAAGGCCATAAGGCCGCCATAGGTATCGGCAAATCGGGCCCGGATCCGGACCAGTCGGTCTCCGCCCCCGTCACCGCTCACAATTCCACCGGCAAAACCCCACAACACAACGCGCTCGTCATCGCGGCGGCACAAAACCAACCTACACACCTCACAATGGTCAAGCCGCTCACATTCAAAGGCGACAAAAAGCCCAAAAAGCGCAAGCGCGCCGCGGCCACTGAAGACGATGCGGGCGACGCCTCTGGCCCGCCCGCCAAAGCTCCCACCACCGCATCTGACGCGCCCGCTTCCGAGGACGACGACTCATGGGTGACGGCCGAGGCTGTGACCGACATTGCCGGGCCGGTGACGATCATATTGCCGACAGAGGACGTGTCCAGCCTGGGGAGCGACGCGAACGGCGTCGTGTTCGTGAGCAAGATGGAGAACCTGGTGGACGGGGACCCGCTGACCGCGGAGCCGCATGACGTGCGGCAGGTGTGGGTTGCGAACCGTGTAGCGGGAACGGAGGGGTTCAGCTTCAAGGGACATCACGGGAAGTACGTTGATCTGTCTCACGTTCTCCACCATTGAAGATGCAATACTAATTCCGTAGGTACCTCGGTTGCGACAAATTCGGCATCCTACAAGCAACGCGCGAAGCCATCTCCCCCGAAGAGTCCTTCACCTGCATCCCCGTGGCCGACAGCCCCGGCACCTTTGCCATCCAAACCCAACGCGACAAGTTCGTCACCGTCGACGAGAGCAAGAGCGGCGCACCCGCCGTGCGCGGTGACGCCGAGAACATTGATTTCTGCTCGACGCTGCGCATCCGCATGCAGGCGCGCTTCAAGCCACGGCTGAAAGCTTCCAAAGAGCAAAAGGCTCTCGAAAAGATCTCGCGCAAGGAGCTGGAGGAAATGGTTGGCCGGAGGCTGGAGGATGACGAGGTCAAGAAGTTGAAAAAGGCGAGACGGGAGGGCAATTTTCATGAGATCATGTTGGATGTCAAGGTCAAAGGGAAGCATGACAAGTTTGCGTGATGTAGATTTAGCGGTCTGGTTGAATGCAAGAGCAGGTTCTCCAGCATACATACCACAGCTCACTTTCCACCTCCATGCAACGTCTACGAAATGGTAACGCTCAATCAAATCTGCTTCTAGGACTCAATTCATCTCACCTCTATTCTAGCCCATCTACAAGCCAAAACACTCCAATCCAGCCCAACCCAGCCCAGTCCAGCCTATTACCGCCTCCCTGTATCAAACGCCTCGCAGGCAAAAGCCGCGCTCAGACCGCAGCAAACGGAACCAAAAAATGCCATCACCGGCAACAAAAGTCAAGAGCCAAGCACACGCGCGCCACGGGAAAACAAACAAACAAGCAAAAAGCGTACAAACGACCAATACAAAGCCGCCGCCGCCGATAATGGTTTTGGGTATATCCACCAACGAAGGTGTTTTAGTAGAGCGGAAAAAATGATAAGAGAAATGAGACACGAAAATAAATCGCTCAAAACGCTGTGAAATGCCCAAGATGACGGCGAAAATGACTCCAACTCCGATGATGATGACGGTGGCGGTAATGTACAGGGATGTCGATAAACGCGCGGCGATGCGCAGGTAATAGAAGGGCGAGGGAGCGTGCTTCGAACGTGCTTCGAACGCGCTCAATAGACAGGAGATGGATGAGTGAACGGCACTGGTTCAAGACCGCGCAAACGCGTCAGCGCAAACCGCAACCACCGTCAATCACCATGTTATTCCCGCTCGCACCAGGCAGTCTTGCTCATGCCGTCAAGCCTCTAGACTGGTGAGAGCCAGGGGAGCCGACCGGGCCAGCAGCGCTCGGCCCAACGCCTGCGTCGCCGCCTGCAATCCCGAGCCCGACGCCGCTCATGCCACCATTGCTGGTGGTACTCGCGCCGCTCCCCCTATCTGCGCCCGGGCTGAACATCGCTGCCTCGGCCAGGCTCTCGCTCAGCGCGTCCACGTCCACCTCCTCGCGCTGCAGCACAACCTTGAATGGCGCCTTCGGTTCCGGCCGCATTCCGAAAATTGGCCCGCTTTGGTTCACACCTGGGATGCGCAGCCTAAAGGAACGAGAGCGTTGCGGACCGGCTGCGTCGGTCTTGTCCACTTTGTCCTGCTCTGACGCGTCTTCGGGAACAGGCTCCTGGGCGTCGTTGGCAGAGTTGTCCTCGGCGGCAGGCTGGACGTCGGCGTCCGTGGATGCGGGAGCTTCAGCTGCTGTGGAGGGTGTGGGTGTGGGGGTGGAGCCCCATTTGCCGCGCCACCAGCCACCAACCTTCTGCCCAATGCTGCCAGTCTTCTGCTCGCTCTTGTCGGCTCTGGGCCGCTCCATTGCTGCGGCCGAGGCCATACCCTCCAGCAATCCCCTTGAGCTTGAGCGCGCGCCGCTCAGTGTCGGTCTCGTTGCCATGGCCGTCATGTTGCTCAGACTTGGGCCTGCGAGGCTGTAGCTCGGGCTCGGACCGTTGGGGGCGAACAGAAGCTGCTGTGGCCGCGAGCGAAGAGTGTGAATGTCCATGCCAGAAACGGACAGTAAGCTGTCATGTGAGTTGTGACGACGGATAACAGGTCGTTGACTGTGTAGATGAGCGTAAATGTCTTCAGTGTAATTCTCCTGCTCCAACATAGAGCTAGGATTCGGCGTGCCAGCAAGCGTGGCTGCGGCGCTCATAGAGCCGTCATTTTCGTGATCGTGCTCGGATTCTTCAGGAATAATATCCGAAGTGTGGGGTACGTCAAGGTCTTCTTCGGGTATGCGGAGCGATGGTCTGCGGTCGTGAGGGTTGCAGAAGCAAGGATTGACCTCTACGCTTGGGGCGGCCTTGAGGTGCTGCTTGAATGACGTCTTCATCTGCATAGGTGAGAAAAGAGGAGAACCCGGAGCATTGCTCTCGGGACTTGTAGGACGAGACGAATCCTGTCCTGCATCGCTAAAGATGCTACGGTTGAAGAGAGAAGAGGTACGGCGGGAATGTGTGTATGGGGTATCAGGTACAGAAGAGGAAGCGATAGATGGGCCGCTCTCTACCGTGTGAGTAGACCTGCGCGGCTTGTGGTTGGGAATCGTAACGGAAGTTTGAGAGAGAATGGTAGCGGCAGAGGAAGGCGTAGCGGGCCTAAGACTAGACACAGAAGACCGCGGGGTGTGTAGGGCGCGGGGAGGAGCAAAGTGGTTGGGAGTGATGGCGCTGCGCTTCTTCCGCGACGAGCGGCGTTGCAACGTCCGGCTCCGCATGACATCCTTGGAAGGTGTCGACTCCCGAGCCGCGTGGTAGTGGTGGTGAACATGGAACTCCTTCGGGCCAGGAACCTGGACATCCCGCGAGTCGCGGTCGTGACGGTCCTGGGACGAAGGACGATCTTGAGACGAAGGACGCTCCTGAGGAGGACTGTCTTGAGATGACTCATGTTGTTCGTCCATGTCGAGCGGCAGTTCGTTGCTGAGGGTAGGCGTGCGTGCGATTCCAGGATCCGGAGCCTCATCGAGTGGTTGATGAACCATGAGTTGTGTCCTTAGCCTCTCGACTTCGTCATTCGAAGTGAGCAACATCTCTCTCAGCTCCACGATACCCAGCTGCAAGTTGGCATTGTCCTGCAAAATGTCTTTGACAAAATGCGACACGACATGGCTTCCTTTGCCATCGCCAACCGTCTTTGCAGCTGCGGCGCCTTTCAGCCTACCCGCAGCGCTTTCCAGCTCCCGCTCCACTGCTCTTCTCCTCTCCATACGTCCGACAATCTCCACATGCCGTTCCCGCTCCTCCCGAGCCTCCCGCTCGATGCGCTCAATCTGGTCCTGCAGGTTGGCAATCGTGCGCTCTGCTTTTCTCCATCGTTGGATCGCCGATCGCTTCTCATCAGTAGTGGAGGCGGCCGTCTCTTGAAGTTGGTCTTGATCCCGTTCCAGCTGCGCCACCTGGCGTTCCAAGCTTTCTGTCCTGTTAGCCAGTACCGTGAGTCTGGCGAGCTCGTTGTTCGTATCGAGCAGCGCGGCCGTCAGGCTCTTGACGTGACCGTCGCGGTCGGCAACGGCATTGTTCAGAGCCTCGAGCTGGTCGAGCAGATCGCGATTCTCCTGGACGACGCGGGCGTTGCGCTCCTCGAGGTCGCTCTTGTCGGTCTCCAGTTCCTCGATTTTGGCTGCCATGCGACGACGCTCGGCCTCGCTATCGGCTATGTATGCTTCATGGCGGATAAGCAGGGCCTGCAGGGAGAAGATCAGACATTTTGTCATGGGATGACGCGAAAGACGTGGAAATGAGCTTCATCAAACCGGGGGCCGCCGTCTTGGGCCAAGCCGCCAGGGTCGCAGGCAGTTCCTGGCTAGCAGCTGCGCCGCAGCCAGGGATGTGGGAGCTGCGGAAGCGCAAACGGGGGCCAACAGCGCAACACGTGGTAAAGGGGAATCGGAAGGAAAGTCGAAAGAGTCGTACCTGGCCCAGTTGTGCAGCCGTCTGCAGGTCGGCTTCGACGCGCTCGAGGTTGCGGCGCGAATGAGAGAGGAATGGACAGTCGATCCTGCCGCAGCAACAATCACCGCGCACGAGAGAATCCATGGCGAAAGAGGCGAAGAATGCTGCAGCTGCCGGTCCAAGGCCCCTCCTCCATCGAGGAAAAAGAAGAACGAGGGGATGCTAGCAGACGAGGGAGCGAGCGAGCTAGGTAAGTGAGGCGCGAGATGAGCATGAGCTTGCGCCTAGTGGGGACGGCATGCTCGCTGGTCACAGTCCGCTTTAAACGAGGGCGCAAGGGCGCATAGGACAGGTGCGGTTATGTCAGTTGTTATTTTGCCTGCTCATGACTCTCGAGAGCTCTGGCGCGCGCCCAAACCACGCGGGCGCTCCCAAGCTCCCACTAAACAGCTCATCTCGGCCGGTGAAAGCTCCATCCCCCGAACGGCACCGGCTGACCGGTGTGGGGGGAACTGCAAAGGTTCGCCCAGCTCCAATAAACCACCCGCAGTCCCGCTCTGAAAAACTTTACTGCAGCCCAACTTTGAGCCTCACATTTCCGTGCTTGCCCGCCCGATCCTCACGCCTCCGTCATGTCCACATCCACCTCTCCAGCCACCTCATTGACGAAAAGATCTGCCTCTTCGTCCGAGTCAATCTCCATCTCCTCCGGCTGACTGCGCTGCTCCTGCATATTTATCGCCCGCCATCCACTCGAGACGGCGCTGTTCCGCCGTAGCGGACGTGCTTCTTGCGCCGCCTTCAACGCAATGCGGTCCTCAGCTGCAGCATTGCCTTCCAGTACTTTTATCATTTTTCGCCAAGTTTTGGGATCTCGAGAACTGTCATGATCGCCAACTTCGTAACCGTTGACGGTGGCGAGATCCAGCGATTCTACTCTGGTATCGCCCCAGAACCACTTTTTATCGTCTTCGATGTGACGGTATACACTGGTACCGTACTCTCTGCCTTGATAAACACCTTCAAGACCCTGTCCTAGGTCTCCGACCTGGTTGCTGTCCACCGAAAACCATAGGATCATGGCATCCTCTTCGTAGCACCGGCCTAAAATCCGGTTGAATGGGACCTTCAAGCTCTGATCTGCTTGATGAAGACGTTGCCATTCTTTACCGCTGTAGCCCTGTAGGATGGCCGGAAGCTGGCTCTTGTAAGCGGGCTTTGCTGTAGGTCGTTTGCCATCAGTGGTAAACGCCTTTCCGACGATATGCACCGTGGAATTGTAAGGACGCATGTCGTCGTAATCATTGTTGCTGGCATGATCTAGATTGGTCAGATTGAGCTTTATTGACATGACTTGGAGCACATCCGTTACTTCTGAGCCTGAACCCGCTGAGCCTGATCCCTGCTGACGCGGGAGGAGGCGCACTGTGTCTCCGACAAGAATTAGCTCTGGACCAAGGTAAAGGCCTCGACAGCTAATAGATGCAGCAGGCCATTTTCCAGTGAACTGGAACTTCTCCACGAGTGAGAAAGTCGACATGGATGTGAGACCATGCTTGATTGTTGGGTGCCATCTGTCCTCCTCTATTCCACGTAGGAAATCTCCCCAAAATATGAACGGGCGCAATAGATGTAATGGGAGGTATTTGTGCTGCTTCGAAAAGTGCTTGACTTCGCTGTTGGGGTCGGGCAGTGGCTCAACCCTGTAGCCAGAGTAATTAAGGTCGAATCTTTTCTCAGTCCGGATGACCAAGTCTTCAATGACTGGCCCTTCCGTTGCGAGCTGCGTGACCACTCCGGCCTCCCATACTGGATGGCCAACGAATTTCTGCTTTGGGATCCAGATCTTGAACTCGTTTGTAGAAGGGTCAAGACAAACCTCTTCGCCAGGTCCAAGTCTCTGGACGAAGAGGACCAGCTCTCCTGGCCTTGGTGCCCATTGTGGCTGGCGTGACATTTTGTTGAGCATCTTCGGCAACGTCGGGCGTTCTGAACGCCAATCCATGCTCATAGTTTCTTTTATTGGCAGATCAACGGTGCCTTTGCTACGAAGCTTGTCGATAAGATTCCGATATATGTCAGGAGTGCCTTCTTTGTCGACTTGCATCGTCGACGTGTCCACCTGGCGGGGCTTGCCTTTTGGCGCGGGGTGCTGCAACGCAGATGATATGCCACTAGGTGTCATGCTGCTAACTGCATATGTGGAGCTGGTCGAGAGCTTTGCTGCACTGGCCGGCTTTGCTGCACTGGCCGGCTTTGCTGCACTGGCCGGCTTTGTAGTCTTGGGCTTGGGAGTCGGAATCGAACAAACAGTGCATGGGCAACCCCAGCTAATCCCATTGTTCTTCATCAAGTGCAAAAAGTGGGGTAAAAAGCGGTTGGGCGAGTCGAAGGTCTTCCCGTCAGGGTGACCGTAGCACCATCTGTCGTGGTGTTTAGGTTCCTTGATGCGCGGCCTTCCCCAGACTGAATACCCGGATGGCAGCCTGTCGAGTGTGTACTGGACACCTAATGCAAGGATGAGGCCGCTTTTATAGTTGCTTGAATGGTATAATACTTACCAGGCTTGTATTCGCCTCTTTCTTTTAACCATCCTACTGCAAGCTTCTCCAGGTAAATTTCTGACGGGTCTTCCTTTGAGAATTCGGGTTTGTTGGGAACGTGAGAAGAGTCGCCGTCAGACACCGGGAGTATAGGGACGATAACTTTCGGCATGGTGAGGCAACTCTAGTGGCACGCGCAGCTTGACGGAGTGATCAGACAGAAGAGTGAGACCGAAGAGTGAGAGCCAAAGGCGGAGTGGCACGAGCAAGTGTCGATTAGGAAGAGGAGCTGAGTTAGTACGTGAGAAACTCAGAGATGCTTCACTAAAGACATTGTTGGAGATTGAGGTAGTAGTAGTCCGAGTGTTGGTGTTGAAATGGCTAGGGTTCGCAGAAGGAAGGAACAGCCGACGGTGGTGGGGAACGTTCCCCCGCTGGAATGGGGATGGAAGCGACAGGCAGGCCCTTGCCCTTGCGACCGCGCTGATCATCTGTCACGTCTGCCCACAACTCACCTCAACGCCAATCTTGCCTTTGTCTAGGAGAGACTGAAAGACATCTGAGACACGAAAGCTGCAGTGCATAACGGAGCTCGTACCACCGAAGCGCGGACGCATGTCGCATCCACTCCATTGCATATTCCGCCCGGACCGCCGAAGGCTGCGCGCGCTATCCCCAAAGATGACCTCCGGCCTTCCCCAGTCAGTGCCCTGATTGGCAGTCTGTCCCCGGTGAAATATCGTGGCGCTCAAACTGATTAAATCTATCTCTCGCCAATGCAGGAGGTCCAGAGGCTCAGCGCCTCAGTTCCAACACTTTGGAACCGAGTAATATGTAAAAAAAGCAGCTGCCGCTCAAACGCTTAATCCTTCAATTCGCCATTGTCTCCACGCTACTTTTTGAAAATAGACTCATTCACTCCAGTATGCTTCGGCCGTGATAACCATCCTTCGTCAGTGCCCTCTACTAGCTTCTCGGTCCACCTTGACGGCGTAAAGCCAAGAATATTCAAAAAGGAATAAAATGGGGTTTCTCGGACGAGTCTTTGGACGAAGGCAATTGCCTGTTCCAGTAGACAAACGAATATCAACACCAGCCGGGAGACGCCTATCCAGCATCATGGAAGGGACGGAAAAGCAGTCGAATCGCCGATCAGCCAAAACCGCTTTTGTCGAGGTTAATGAGACGCCAAAGCCCCCAGCAAATGCCATTTATTGGAGCGCAGCATGGTCGGAGGGTCCTCCAGTAAGACGAGAGTCAAAGTTAGAAGTACTAAAAGACCACGCCCGGAAGCGTTGGAGCCGGAAGAGGATAATTATAATTGCTACTATCCTTGTCGTAGCAATTATTGCGCTTGCTGTTGGCCTAGCGGTTGGTCTGAATAACAGGTAAGTCCGGACTCCTTAATTCTTCTATCCAAATTAATGATGACAGCAATTCGAGCACGAGTGATTCTACTACCGATAATGATGAATCTTCAACAACCGACAACAGTAGCCCTACGGCATCTGGAGACACGGCCGTGGCCAGTACTACTGATGCCGATTTCCCTGTTGGCACATATTCCTTCACAACTTTCCTCGACACCGTCACCACTGATTGTACATCGAACGTGGATGCGTGGTCCTGTTGGCCGTATACAATTTACAATAAAGATAAGGACGAGGCTATGACTACATTCAACTGGGTCGTCTCTGGCGATACGGGTGGTTACCAGATTTCATCTTCGAAGGACGATCCGCTGTCGTTGTCGTTCTCCAACGTGGACATGAATCTATACAGCGAAGGAGAAGACAGCGAACGGTACACATTCCAATTTACCATGGACAAAACGGTTGTCCCCTCCTCGGCTCTCACGGACGACGGCTCTAGCTCAGTCTGCTACTTCAACAGTACGACGTTCACAGCGTATCTTTACACGAAAATGGCCAAAGGATACCCGACTTCAAAGCAACCCGCAAACACCACAAACGAGGCATGGCCGTATGCATTCCGTGCAGAACAGTCGATCGCTGGTGGTGACAATGTGCCAATTTGCTACAAAACGACAGATGGTGAGATTGGTGAGCAGATTACCGACACACTAGAAGCTGAGGGGGCGAGCACACTATGCAGCTGCTTGTACAGGAATTATCTGACCACTTCTGAGTCGTGAGAGTGGGACGGCAGTCATTTTATTTCATTTCTTTTTCATTCTTTTTTTTAGCACATTATCTTGCATTTCCAGCACTGTATATTTCCAGCATCAGCGAGGGGTTGGAGTTTGGCTTTGCGGCGCAAATAGCGACTTAAAAGCAACCCGGATTCGAACAAATTGATTAGATTTAAAAAGACATGCAATTGGATGAGTCTCAGCTTCATCGTGCGCTTACCAACAGACCGGTCTCGGCGGCGGTGGCACTGCAAGGGCCAACCCCACCAGCGTCATTTGTCTGGTCTGATCAAAAAACGTTCGACTCATCGCAACACCCCCGCAGTCCATAAGTTTCCCAGCGCAACATCGCAAGGGAATCAGACTGCTAACAATTATGGCGCTTCCATTCCTACCGTCAATTGATCTCAAGGCTTACACGAGCCCTGTCAAGGGCCTCGACGCCCAGGCTCTGTCGTACATCGGCAATGTCTTCGCAACCGTCACTCCGGACAATGTCGACGACGCCTTTCTTTACCTTCAGCAGACCTTCGGCCTATTCTCGACCTACTTCAATGCCTCGTCGCTCACCTCCGTCTCCGATCTCGTCTCGCTCCTCGACTCTGGCGCCGCCAAGGTCTTTGTCGTTCTGTCGCAACTGCAGGAGCTGCGCAATGTGCCCAACGTCGCTCTCGACCGCGTCGTTCTCTGCATGTCCGGCCAATTGAAGAAGGATCTCGTCGATGCCATTGCCGGTACACCCGTCGGCGTATATGCTGAGGACGTCCAGGACGTCGAGCTGGTCGAGGCGTGGCTGAAGGACTACGGCGGCGACAGGCCCGAGGTCTTTGTGTCGTTTGCGAAGCCGACCCTTGAGAGTGCCCTCCACGTCACGAAGCTTTCGGCCACCCCGGTCATTCCAGCGGACCAGCTCACCATTGACCCGAAGGCGGAGCAGGATCTCATTCCCGTCGGCAAAGTGCTCATGGCAAACACCACCAGTGACAGACCCGACGGCCTTTTCACGACCTTGGTTACGGATGAGCGCGGCATCGCACTTGGTCTCGTCTACAGCAGCGAGGAGAGCGTGCAGGAGAGTTTGAAGACTGGTCGCGGTGTTTACCAGAGCCGCAAGAGGGGTTTGTGGTACAAGGGCGAGAGCAGCGGAGATGTTCAGGAGCTCGTCAAGGTCACTATTGACTGCGACTCTGATTGCCTGTGCTTCATTGTGCGCCAGAAGGGCAGAGGTAAAATCATGCGCAACTATAACACTACATCTGCTAATTATGTCAGGTTTCTGCCACCTTGCTACCGCCACCTGCTTCGGCCACTACCGTGGACTCTCCAAGCTTCAGCAGACCCTCCAAAGCCGCAAGGCTTCCGCGCCCGAGGGCTCCTACACCGCCAGGCTGTTCAACGACCCCAACATGCTCAAGGCTAAGATCATGGAGGAGGCTCAGGAGCTGGTTGAGGCCAAGACCAAGGAGGAGGTCGCTTTCGAGGCCGCCGATCTGATGTACTTTGCCCTGACCAAATGCGTCGCTTCCGGCGTCACTTTGGAGGATGTCGAGAAGAACCTCGATGCGAAGAGCGTCAAGGTCAAGAGGAGAAAGGGTGACGCCAAGGGCCCTTGGGCTGAAAAGATGGGCGTCATCCAGGAGAACGGCACCAAGGAGATGGTTAAGGAGGCTGCTTCTGTGCCTAAGAGCAAGGATGACCCCGCGGGCACCAACGAGGAGGGCAAGATCGAGATGAAGCGTTACATCACCTCGCAAGAGACCCCCGAGGTCATTGCGGAAGTGCTCCAGCGCCCGTCTCAAAAGTCCACCGACAGGATCATGGGCATTGTCAACCCCATCATCAAGAGCATCCGCGAGCGCGGCGACGCTGCTGTGCTCGAGTACACGCACAAGTTTGAAAAGGCCACCTCCCTCACCTCTCCCGTTCTCCGCGCTCCCTTCCCTCGCAGCATGATGCAGCTTCCTCCTGAGACCATTGCTGCCATTGACGTCTCTTTCGAGAACATCCGCCGCTTCCACGCTGCTCAGCAGGATGACAAGCCGCTGGTTGTCGAGACGATGCCCGGCGTTGTCTGCACGCGCTTCTCTCGTCCCATCGAGCGCGTCGGTCTCTACGTTCCTGGTGGTACTGCCGTTCTGCCTTCCACCGCGCTCATGCTGGGTGTCCCCGCCATGGTGGCCGGTTGCAAGAAGATCGTTATCGCTTCCCCGCCTCGTGCCGACGGATCCGTCACTCCCGAGATTGTCTACGTCGCCAGCAAGGTTGGTGCCGAGAGCATTGTCCTCGCGGGTGGTGCGCAAGCCGTCGCTGCGATGGCGTACGGCACTGAGAGCGTCACCAAGGTCGACAAGATTCTTGGTCCTGGTAACCAGTTCGTCACGGCGGCCAAGATGTTCGTCAGCAACGACACCAACGCCGGTGTCAGCATTGACATGCCGGCCGGTCCCTCCGAGGTCCTTGTCGTCGCCGACAAGACTGCCAACCCGGCGTTCGTGGCGTCCGATCTCCTGTCTCAGGCCGAGCACGGCGTCGACAGCCAGGTCATTCTGATCGCCGTCGACCTCAACGAGCAGGAACTGGCCGCCATTGAGGATGAGCTCCACAAGCAAGCCATGGCGCTGCCACGTGTGGACATTGTGCGTGGCTCGATCGCGCACTCGGTCACGTTGGTGGTCAAGGACATTGACGAGGCCATGACCCTCAGCAACGAATACGCACCGGAGCACTTGATCCTGCAGGTTGCCGAGCCTGAAAAGGTTGCCGAGAAGGTCGAGAACGCAGGATCCGTATTCGTCGGACCCTGGACTCCTGAAAGCGTCGGCGACTACAGCGCCGGCGTCAACCACTCTCTGCGTAAGTACATCACTTCCTCTATCTGAACACATACTAACTTCAACAGCTACCTATGGTTACGCGAAGCAGTACTCTGGCGTCAACCTCGGATCTTACCTCAAGCACATCACGTCCTCGAACCTGACGGCAGACGGCCTGCGCAACGTCGGCGAGGCAGTGATGCAGCTGGCCAAGGTCGAGGAGCTCGAGGCTCACAGGCGCGCCGTGTCAATCAGGCTGTCCCACATGGACAAGAGCGCATAGGCCGTAGACGTTGTCTGATGTACAGTTGCACGAACATAGTCATGTATCTACGCGCGATGAGGATTTCTGCAGCTGCCGCTGTGTGTGCGCACGCGCACTTTACGTTGCGTTGTTTAGATGGGATATCAAAATTTGGGTCTGTTTCTTTTTCAGGGCTTCTTTTGCGTTACCTTGCTACGCGGCCTTGTGTTAGTGAGTGAAACAGGGGCTGAACGTGGCGAACTTGAGGTGCAGGACGCGGCAGGTCGTGAGACTGCGTGTTCATGCTTCTCTCTTCCGTCGCCATGTACTGCTCGCATTCCGTCGGCCGTCGCGCACCGGATCTGGACATTTGCAAATCGGCCTGTGATGGATCTCTTAGCTTACTACTGACGTATCACGTTTTTTCGTGGCTCAGGGTCCAGTGGACGGCCTGACAGGGTCTACTCTACACGTCATGATGCGGGACAGTTGACACGCCAACGACCTACCTCAGCTCTGCGTTTTTGATGCCTACCCCTTGAAAGCAATCAATCCCATTCCTCTCTACATACCTATCACCAGTACCGAATCGCACTTACCATTCCAATTGCTAGCGCATGGCACGGCTCACCATGGCCAGTCTAAATGGTGCGTGCAGGACCCATCTCCGCGCCCCGCCCCGCTCCGAGACACGCAGGTTCCGGGGCGGAAGTCGGCGGCATGGTGGCATGATGCACGTACTAACGCAGCGGGGCCAGTCTTCATGAAACCGCTCAAGGTGCACTCGACGAAGCCGATGACGGGCTTCCTTCGCAACGGCAAATGCGAGGTCCCGCCCGAGGATTCCGGAAACCACAGCGTGGCTGCCGAGGTCACGGAGGAGTTTCTCGACTTCTCGGCCAAGCGTGGGAATAATCTGCGTGAGGTAGGGCTGACGGGTGGGTGTAGGTGGTGTTTGTGCGTTAGTCGGTGGAAGGAAGCTATGCTTGCGAGGAAGGGAGACCAGGACCCCGTGGTGCCAAGGTGAGCGAACGGATTTACTCTGCCAATGGCTGCTGATGGACGTAGGGTCTTTTTGAATGCTACGAACGAGGCGGCGTTGAGGCAGGTTGATATCGCGGATCTAAAAAAGTTTGCGGCCGATACGGAGGAGTAGGCATTGAGTGCGTCAGTGTGGGGATGTAGATTCTGTCGTAAGACGATATAAAAAGGAGTTTCTATTGTTGTAGACCGAGATGCAAAGATAGGAGAATCGCCCTTGATGCTGACGACGCACCTCGTGAAAGAGGCTCTTAAGTTCGGGGGCTACGGTACCCAACTCGGCAGCGAACCCACTGACGTCCAGCAATGACGGGAAGATGGGACATCCGAACTTCCTGAAAGGTATTTGAGCCGCGCTACCGAGTCGACTCGACCACCATGAGTAATCGGCTGAGCCGGCCACTCGGAGCAGCGGCAAAAATCACGAAGACCAAAAGGTGGATGCGGTGGGTGCGGGCGTCGTCGGCGTCACCGAAGAAAGCACACGTAGACCCGGCGGAGAAAGCGGGATCTGCGGGATTCTGCTTTTGCGCAGCAGGTGTTTCATTTAGTCGCAAACTCAAAACACAGCCCGGCAGCCACAGGCGTGGCGATGCAACTGGTGTCGCGCCCTGAGTGACGTCCAGGGACTGATATGACAACCATGGAAGCTGGGCAGGCGGTGCAGGGCAGAGCTGTTGCCTGCATAGTGAGTACAATGGGAGCATTGCGTGGTTTGGACAGGGCTTTTTTTAGACGGTGAGGCAGCCTTGTGCATGATCGGCGGCAAGTGCCGTCTCGTCGTCCAAACGTGACGGCGGCCGACGGTGCTTCATGGCAAAGGCTTGGCCGAATCACGATGAACATGATGGACATGATGGCATCTAGTTAATAGTATTTGATATTGAGTATTGACTATGACCTTATGGCTTCGGGCCGATCCGTAGAGCGATGGACAGTGGGTGAGGGTAGGGGTCTTCTGTCGAGCAGTCCGCATTAGGGGCCGGTAGGGGTCGCGGGGGAGCGGCAGGCTGGCGCAGTGCGTGCGACTGCGGGCGACTGCGCAAGAGAAGGTTATGGATGTGACATCAAGGCAATGCACACAGCCTCTTCTGGTGCCCACTGCCCAGGCATCCCGCCTGGTGCCAAGCTTCTCCACTCAGCCCAAACGGCTGGGCCGCCGCGACCCTTAAACCTCGTCGAGAGCACACCCCAAATTAACTAATCCGAACGACACCATCGACAACAGCGCTCAGCCTCCCTCACTCCCCCCTCTATCCGCTGGCCAGACGATCGTTACCCCAAGCCCACAGCCCTCGCGTTAGCCGCGCCGCCGCGCCTACCTACTTACAAAGCTTCACCGCTTTCGCTCACCGGCCTCGCTCGTCTCACGTCGCGATCCCTTGCAGCGAGCGAAACACTCGTTGGACCTGAGGACGAAAAGCTGGAACCCACGAGATCCTCCCCCCGAGACCCGCGTGATCCGCGACCCTTAGCTCGTAGAAGCCCTTGTGTCGCAGCAGAAGCCACCCGCTACTGGACGCCCGCAGCTTCCCTTCGCCCCCCCTCCCTCCCTGCCGTCGCATTCCCGACCCAACCCTCTTTTCCTCCACGGGCCGCCGCGCACGGCGGCAGAACACCGCCAAAATTATCCACCACGAGTCTCGCGCATCCCTCCTCGGAGGCCAGTCCATAGATCGGCTCTACCAGCCTCCGACTCTCGACACCATCCCAGGAGGCTATCGCGAACGCGAAGGCCTCTCCACCACGCCCGCCATGAAGACGTCTCCCAGCAAGATATACAAGCCCAACAGCACCTGGACCTGGGCCTTTTTGCTCACGGCCTCGATGCAGGCTATTGTCGCCCTGGCCTTGGAAGCGTATGTCGTGCCCCCACGGCCGGCCGCCGCGACGCCCTGCCCCGACTGACTTTTGCGCCGTAGATACATTTTCGCCAAGTTCCAGACGTCCCTCGAGCCGGGCGCCGAGGTCTTGCCCCAGTCGCGCACCATCCCCACCTACCTCGCCGTCTTCATGTTCGGCTACCTCTACCAGATGGTCCTCGTCTACGACGGCCTGCGCCTCAAGAACACGATTCAAGTCATCGGTCTCTGCATATACAATGTCGGCATTCTCGTCTACGCCGCCATCCAGATGGACCAGATCAAGGAAGCAGTCGGCGCCCTCAAGGAGACGCGCCTCATCGACCCGTCGTTTATGCGCGACACGAAGCCATTCCTGATCGTGGAGCCTTGTCTGATGGCCTTTGGAACCCTGCTCATGTCCTTTGAGGCCTGGAAGCTGTACGATGAGTTTGCATGGACCATCTACAAGCACATCAGCGCCGACCTGCGGCTGAAGCGGAGATATCTGACGTATCAGGTAGGGCGCCCGACGCGCATTCACTATACCGCAATAACTAACACAACGGTCTAGATCTACATCGCCCTGTTGAAGTTTGATTTCTTCTTCTTCCTTGGTTTCACCGTCCAGTTCCTCGTCGTCGTCAACAACACCAACGACGCCGAATTCTACCTGACGATCGCCGCGGTGCCCATCACCATCCTGCTCCTCGTCCTGGCAGCCTACTGGACGCGCAAAGAAAGCGTTATCGGCATGGTGGCCATTATCGTACGTGTCCCATTGCGGGAGGCTAAAAATAGGCAACCCGAGGTGCAATTTCCGAAGAGCCCCAAGCTGACATTGGCCGGCAGATCATCTATTTCGCCGCGCTCGCGTACTTCCTGTTCAAGCTGATCCGTATGTACGGCTCTGACCCGACTCGCGTCAACGACTACAAGCCCGCGCGACGCTCGCTCACGACCTTCGCCGTCATCACCATCTTGCTGCTGCTCGTAACCATCATTGTCGCCTGCCAGTGCACGCACAACTTCAACAAGGGCCTCAAGCCGCATATTGCCCGTCGCAAGGTCCCGGACATTGACGAGGGCAAGTACACGACCGAAATGCCGGCCATTGCGGGCCCGGGCCATACCAGGATGACCATCGACTAGTCGCCGCCCGCGTGTGCCAGTCTCGCCGCCCATTTCTCAGTTTTCTTCTGGAAAAATACCGTGCGTTATATTCGATGGCAGGCATGAAGAAGCATGTTGATATGCAAAGCGCGTGTGGATTTTTTTTTTTTTTTTTTCTTTTCTTTCCCTTTTATACAAACCCTTTTTCTTTTCTACTGGCTTTGTGAGATTTTGATTGTTTGTTTTTTGCGCGGGTCGATATCAGGGCGAATTATGGGAATGCGCAGCGGCGACGGGACGGCGTTTTGCGGAGCTGGGAGGGGCGGTACTGGTGGTACGGTTACCCTATTTTGCGCCGGACGGCACGGTACGGCACGCCAGGGCATGGCACGGCACGGCACGCGGGACTCGCCTTGTACTCTACCCGTTCCATTTATCGATCCAATCGGCATCGATATGCGATCGTGGAGGAGGAGGCACCGGGACGGGATTGAAAGTCCGACAGACAGACAGACAGACAGGTTGTTGCTACACGCACGCAGCTCACCTCGCTTGCTTGTCGAGCCGCTTGGCTGCCGCCGGCTTCTGGTTTAATTGCGCTTCTACGGTCTTACGGAAGGCACAAACAAACGAAGGAAATTGGCATTGGCACTGGCATTGGCATTGGTACATCCGCACGCTCGGCAACAAGCGACGCGCCGCCTCGCCTCGCCTCGCTTCGCCCGCTTCCTGGACGATGGACGGACGGATGGTCATTGAGAGTGAGCGTGAGCATGAGCGCGGACGGGAGCGAGAGTGGCAGCGCATCTGGCACGCACACGCACATCGCTGGCACGCAGGCATGCAGATCCATCTATCCGCGCGCCAGCGCCAGCGCCCCAAACGCGCGTATAAGGTATATACGCGCAAGCAAGCAAGCGAGCGTGTTCATGGGCCGCGGGCGTCTCCCGTCTCATCTCTTGTTTTCGGGAGCTGGGCTAGGCCGGGCCGCCGGGTCGTGGTCGAGGTCGGGGTTGGGGTGAGAAGGGAAGGAAGGACCAACCCTGCTTACCTACCTACCGTCGACGTCGACGTCGGATTTGATTTTTTGATTTTTCTTCTTTTTTACTTCTGGATTTTGACTGTTACGTTTGTGTGGTGGTTTGTTTTTTTGTGGCCGCTTGCTTGGCTGCTTGCTTTTTTTATACCTTTTTCGTTTGTGTGCTTCTTCTTTTTGCTTTTTTTGCTTCGCTTTTTTTGCTTTTTGGGTTTTGTTGAGCTTGCTGCTCTGGTGCTGGTGCTGCGCTACTTGCCTGCGTACCTACCTACCTGTTAGGTGCGGTATTGTGCGTTCTGCCGCCGCCGCCGCTGCCGTTTCTGGTTGATGCTGGCTGGCTGCTGGCTGCTTGCTGCTGGCTGGGGTGGGCGGAGAGGTAGAATTCTGGTTGGTTGTATGTATGCATGCATGGGAGGGAGGGAGGGGAGGGAAGGGAGAGCGAGGGCAAAGAAAGAGCTGTCTGTTATTGCTGGATATACCATGGAAGGGACCAATGCTCTGACTCTGATTGATTGATTGATTGATTGACTTGATTGACTTGGTTTGATTTGCTTTGGATTGATTGCGCTCTGAGATACCGATATCTGGCTGGCTGATTAGGGGGGGTTGTCGTTGATGTTGATGTTGATGGGTTGGATGGGTTTGGCTGGATATAGATATTGATACCTATCTGTTTATCTATGTATGTATGTATGTATGTACCGAGCTGAGCTGAGCTACGGGATTATCTTTTTACGTTTTTCGTCTTTCTTTCTAGTCTGCTGAGTTGAAATAGGTCTTAAGAGCTTTTCGAGAGATAGAAAAAGGAGGGGAAGAGGTGGAAGACACGGGGTACGGGTCCTTTGCTTCTTGTTCGTACTTTTCCCTCTTCTCTCCAATCTTTCTTTTGTCGTCACGATATATCTGATACCCGTCAAACACACATATTAAATGGATGGGTAAGTACCTAGGTATCCTTTCCTCCTCTTTCATCTCTCGCTCTTTCCCACTTCCAGTTTCCTTCACTGTCGTAAGCAAGATAGCTACTCTGGCCCCCGCCCCCGCTTCCGCCCCCGCCCTTGCCCCGGCCCCCACACTCGCCACCATCATCCGCACCTCGTGCTGACGCGCACGCGCACACGCACACACCCGTCCTGGGACGTCCTGCCATGTCTGCCTTGCCATGCCAGCCATGCCAGCCCTACCTCAAGGAGCCAAAGCGAGCGAGCGGGCGCGCGGTTGGGCGACCGCGGCCGCGGGCTGGGGTAGGTTGGGTTGGGTTGGGGTAAGCGGCTGCTTGGTTGGTTGGACGGGAGCACGCGCGCAGGTCTGCAGATCTGCATTTCTGCATACGGACGGCGTACGTACACGCTCATCTGTCTGTTGTTGTCGCTGGCGTTTGTCGCGCGCGGTTGTGTGCCTGTCTGTGCCTGTGCCGTGGCTACCGCTGGCTGGGAGGGTGTAAGTGCGTTGACTGGGAGGGGAGGAGTGTATGGCTGCGTGAGTGCGTGGTGGGCGACCCTCCCTTCCCCTCTCCTCTCCTCTCCCTCCCCGCTCCACTCCACTCCACCCCCCTCCACGGCGCCGAGTCCGCTACTCCGCTCCCCTTTCAAGCAGGGGCGAGCACAGCAGAGCGGAGCGGAGCAGGCGTGAAACGAACGCTGGAGGCAAGGTGGAGCGCACTACGGCGCACGAAGTGGAGACGAGCGACGAACGGGGTGGAGCCGGCGGGCGTGGTTGGTGCGCGAGCTTGCGAGCGGCACGGCAGCGCCGAGGGGAGTGGGGTCCATGGGGACCGGGGGCTCCACTTCCTGATGCTGGCTGCTGCTGCACGGCCAGCGCAGCGTGTATGTATGGTGTCCACCTTAGGGTGCGATTGCGAGTGCGGCCGTTGCCAGTAGGGCTAGGATGGTATACATAGGTAGCATGCTTTTCAAGCTCGGCTGGTGTCTGTGGAGGAAGAGTAGAGAGGGGGAAAAGTTCATCTGTTGATTGTTTAGCTATAACTATTCCATTAGTGAGTTATCTGTAGTCAGATTTCGAAAATGAGTACGTGACGTCTTTGCTCTTGACTTGTCAACAAGCTGCTTATTTAGCTCTCGCTGCGTGCTCCTGTGCTCATGATATATAAGAAGAGGGCACTCGCGCGCGTTATCAACGAAGCGTCTACACTTTATTCCACACCATCAAAGCAATAACACATTTCCCCCTACGTCTATGATTCTCAGCTCTTCTAGCAATGTCTAACGTATCGCTGTTCTATAATGCATACCCGCAACGACGGTACTGTCCGTCCGCCGCTCAAATGCAACAGTGAAGAAATCTCCCTCCAAAACCTCCCTCTCGTAGCGCCAGCGCGGTGCTCGCCGGAAAAGGCATCGTAGACCCTGAACCAGCCTTACTCCAAGCGAGCGTGCGCGCCGCTGTCCTGGCGGCCGAGCATTAACCTTTTCCCAACGTTCATTGGGCAGCGGAGCCGGGTCCGACTGGCCTTTTTGCAAAATCGAAATCGAAACGTCCTTGATGGTCCCTTTTTGCACTCTCGTGGTCACGTTTGTCGTTCAAATGCTGTGGTCATGAGTGCGCGGAGGCGTGCGCTGTCGACGCGCTCATTTCTCCGCAGCGGGGGGACCGGCCTGGCCGGCGGCGCTGCCCTGGCTGTTCAGGAAGCTGAGGTAGCAGTTCCAGCCTGCGAGCGTGTGTCAGTAATCCGCACAACCAATCTCATACTCACAATAACTCACCCAGAGAGATGACGTTGACGACCAAGACGCGGTGCTCGAGCGGCACGAACTTGAAGTTGCCAATCTGCACAAACGGCCACACCATCCAGTTCTTCTGCAGCGCGGGCATGTAGGTGCTCTCGAGCTTCTTCTGCGGCGACGTGCCCTCGAGCACCGCCATGGTCGACAGGAACAGGCACATGTTGGTCGGGGCGAAGAGCAGCTGGTCGGCGGCGACGCGCGCCACAATGGTCGCGTTGGTGCTGCCCAGCTGGATGCGCTGCAGGGCCTTGAACCAGGTCGTCGCGGCAGGACCGAAGATGGCTAAGAAAGTCAGACTAGTAATGTCTTAGGTTGAGACGAGTCTGAACATACCACCACCGTACAGGGCCATGCGCCCGGTGCGCGCCCACTCGTGCTTCTTCAGGCCGCGGCCCTCGACACCCTGCTGGGCCATGACATCGCCGGTCGCAAACAGGATCTGACAAGCGGTCAGCTGGTGTTCCCTGCTTACTGCCACCGCCTCGTTTCTTTTGTGGGTATGTGTGTGGGTGCGAAATTGAGAGGCAATGGGTGGAATATGGCCATTGGCAAGGAAGGGCAACTCATACGGCAGTGGTGACGCTCTGGGTGAGGAGCGGGCGGCGCGCCAGCTGAAGACGGTACCTGTTGTTTATCGCCGGTCAGTGCCAGATTCGGTGAGATAAGAGGTCGCGGCGAGCTTACCAGCCGAGCATTGTGATGTAGGATTTGAGGGGGTTTTTGCGAGGGGGTGAGGGTATGGTATTGGGAATTGAGAGGCAAAAGCACAGTAGTGAGGCCGAGTATGCAGTGGAAAGGAGACGCCGGGCTGAAATACTGCAAGCTTTCTCTCGACTGTGATCTCACGAGTCAGGCAAGTGCAGTTGATGGCGTCAATCTGGGTCCAGGGGCCCCGGAATTTCTTGCTGCCGCGAAGCCCCATGTCCAATTCGGCAACCCTCCCGCCTCATGCTTTTTTCATTGCTGCAATGTCAATACGACTCTTCACATCTCTTTCCTCCAATCGCGCCTCTCTCCTGACGCGCGTTCCTGTGTTTTCTTTTCGTCGCCATCGTGGTCCTCACCGCCGCGGTCTGCTCACTACGCCTCTTCCAAGACCACCCAGATATCATCAAAACCATGCTCGGCGTACCTTCTTCACCGACGCCCTGCCTACCGTGCTCATACCGCCAACCATGTTCCTCATGTGCTTCGTGGGTCTGTGGTCCTACAAAATCCTCATGACCATCGTGTTCCAAGAAAAGCTCATCTATCTTCCCTATCTGCCTCCATTTGCACGCTCGGAAAAGATTGACGAGTATGCAAAAGAGTGCAAGCCCGTGGAATGGGAAGAGAAAAGAATCCGCTCACTGGATGGGACCAGGATCTCCCTTTGTGTCGGCCGAATCCCGCAAGGCACACCTCATGGAGATGACGTAAATCAAAACCGAAGACATGTTGTTCTCGTGTACTTCCAGGGTAATGGAGCATCTCTCCCACCGCGGTTGCCCGCTTTGTCTGGTGTGTTGAGGACGCTTGCTCGCGGTGCGGGTGCAGACGCTCCGGAATACACCATCGTTGCCCTGTCCTACCGTGGGTTCTGGACGTCGAAAGGCAAGGCGTCAGAGAAAGGCATTCAACTGGACGCCCGAGCTGCATTGGCATGGGTAGAAGAAACATATCACAACCATCCGGACACCCGGATGATCCTTTGGGGCCAGAGCCTTGGAGCAGGCGTCGCAGCTAACCTCGCAGCGCATCATCTCGAACTGGCACAGCAATCGATTCTTTCCAAGACTAACAGGGCCATCAGCGGCGTCATCCTTGAGACACCTTTCATCAGCATCAAAGAAATGCTTCTCTCTTTGTATCCGCAAAAGTGGCTGCCATATCGCTACCTATGGCCCTTTCTCCGGAACCACTGGGACAATGACGCCGCACTGAAGAGCATCGCGACAAAGGACGGCGGAAAGCGCTTCCCGATTATGATCATGCAGGCGGCCGAAGACGAAGTCGTCCCGATGGGCCAAGCGGACCATTTGCAGCACCTTTGTCAAGAGCTGCAGCTCGATGTGAGACGCCGGGACGTGCCCGGTGCGTTGCATATGGATACGACGACGAAACAGTCTGGACGGGACGCCATTGTGGGCTTTGTCAAAGAGGTTGAAGAAAAGAGGTGAGATGTTCGGCGTGACTCACCGCGTGACTTGCTAGTCAAAAGACTTACACCGCCCATATAAAGAGTCACCGCGGCTCAATCTTTTCTTCCTCTTTACAACTCCAACCTCACCCACTTTCCGGTCTTCTGAAATAAAAAAAAAAAAAAGTCGCTGCAGACCAAACCTTTTCTTCTTCACAACCCCAAACCTCACCCAAGGTCCGACAGAATGGCTGCGACACCAAGAGCCATAAGCCTGAGCCTTACTCCAACGATAGGCAACGACGTCGCCGCCCCACTAGAAGGCTTAGGACTCCTGTCAGCGCCAGTAAACAACAAGCGGAAAGTCTCAGTTGCCTGCCTATCGCCTCCAGCATCTAGCTCATCCAGATCGTTGTCGTCGACAAGTGTGACTTCAGAGTCTTTCGCCGCGACAGCTACTAATAAAGAAGCTGACTTCATCGACATCCCCGAGTTCCTTTATAGCAAGGAAACCTACGTTTTTCTAGGTTTTACCGAAGAGGTAGCTGGCATTATGTGGCAGAAGTTTCTGTCTCAGCCTAGCGAGAGCCTCGCTGACGATGAAGTCGATTTCCGCCACTTCATCGAATATCCTAGGGCTCGTCTAGACGACTACGATATCGAAGATGCACTCACAACCTCTGATGACTGGGACATATGCCTGTCACAGGTTGGGGTCAACGAAAAGCTGCATGACGCTATTATGATGCCAACTTACTCGGATTTGAGATCCACTGCGTCGTGTAAGTTTTGGGTCCGGGAGAGCATAGAGGATACATGGGCTTCTTTGCTACAACTAGAGGAGGAATTACGCCTAGAGAGCGCAAGGTTACAACGAGAAGCAGCAAGACGGAAGACACGGAAGCATGCTGGCAGCATCTCTGAAGCTCCCTCGCAAGACAAGCCTCATGGTCGCAAGCATGCTGGGTCACTGTCAGAAGCCTCTGCTCACGGTGATACTTATAGCAAAAAGCCAGATGACGAGCAGAAGAAAGAGCAAGGAAAACAGGGCATTGAACCTGCAACTCCTAGCAAGATGAGTGCGGATGACAGCAAGTTGGAAACCGGTACTCTGAAGCATGATGCGCCAGCCAGGATGGAAGGACACACCATGCTATGGCGTGGAGGCGCTCACAGGCGCCACAAGGCTTTCTACGATTTCTCCACCCAGACGGCTAAAATTACCGCACTCGAGTCTTCTCCAGGGGATTTTTCTCACCGAGGAAGATCATACTTCTCGCCGCAGCACGAAACAGCCGACAGATATGCACAGTGGGCAAAGCATAAGTCCGACATTACTCAAGTGTCAATCCTGCAAGTCGCCCTTCCAAACAAATGGGTCGAGAGCCTGGATGCTCACTACCTCTGGCTTGGCGCACTCCCGACAGATGAGTGGAGCCAAGTGGTTTGGCATTCCCGCAATGGCGAAAGATTTCCAAAGGAGTTGCGACATGTCTACAACAAGGATTTGCTCATAGGTCACATAGCTTCAGGCATTAACGAGAAGTATGTGGCCATGGATAAGCCCACCATGATCAAGGACAAGGATGTTCTAAAAGTCGAGAGCGAAGGAGAAGATGTCAAAAGCATCCAGTGGGTTTTCCAGTCCATGAAGGCAGAGGATGGATTTGAGACGGAATGCAAGGGAAAAGTCTGGGTGCATATGTGCGGATGCTTGAAGACCCCTCTGAAGAAGTAGCTGCATATAGAGGCGACGGTAATGACATGAACACTTCATCTTCATAGCCTGACATCCAGCCAGGTCCAGTTTCTCAATCAACGCAAAATACTGTACTAAACTGGCGGAAGTCAAAGCACCAGCCCTGTAGTCACTCACTCCACGAGACGCAGCTTCAGAACAAAGCCAGCATTGACTATATGGCGTCTTAGACTACAATGTCTCTGCCAACGGCGCGGGCATTGTTCTCGCGCACACAAAGCACCCGCACTTCGAAACAATGCCGCATACGCCCATTGTGATATTATTTTATATATGCAGCAACGTAGTCTTCCATCTCTACAGCACTCCTGCGACAATCAACTTCCAATCACCTTTTCAAATACAAAAACAGTCAGACATCTTCCACAACTCCTGCAAATATCCAAACATGACATCGATTTTCAGCCTCCCCAATACCGCCATCCAGCCGCAAGCGCCGTCAACGCAGCAAACATCTACACATCACCCCTCCATCCCCTCTACCCCACCACGCGATTTCCACACCCCCACCACCACCCTAACGCCCCCCACGCACGCCCTCCTCCGCTCCCCCCGCCTCAGCACCCTCCTACCCCTCACAAACCCCTCCAACCCCCCAGCCCCGCTCCCCCTCCCCACTCTCGCCCTCACAGACGCGCACCTCCCGGGCCACGCAGTACGCCTGCACAGCGCGACCTTCTCGCCCGGCCCGACAGCGCTGTGCGTCGGCGCAGCCGTGTTCGCGAATTTTGGCGCTAGCGCTGGCGAGGGGGAGGTGCTGCTGGAGTATCGAGGCGAGGGGAAGACGGGCGTGTTGGTCAGGGGGGTGTGGGGGGTTGTGGATGTGCGTGGTGATGGTGATGATGATGGGGGGAGGGAGGCGTGGCGGTTGTGTGGGGTGTGGGATTATGGTGCTGTGTTTGGGGATGGGTGTGGGGTTATAGAGAGGTTGGATGAGGGGGTGGAAGAAGAGGCGTTCGATTGGGCGGGGTTTGCTGAGGCGGAAGCAGAGGCGGAAGCGGCGGAGGAGGAGGACGCTGAGGAAGTGGTGGTGGTAGCGGAGGAAACACCCCACCACACCACCACCATCAGCACGCACCTCACGACTCTCCTCTCCCAGCACGCGACCTTCGTCATCTTCTCCCCTTCCCCTCCCCCCAACCCCAACCCCACCAGCAGCACCCCCACCCCAACCACGCACCTCCCAGGGACGCAGCACCGCGTCTCGCACCTCTCTGCCTCTACACACTCACACGCGCGTGCCTCACTGCTCGCAACAGTAGTCGCATCCGCAACGGCAGACGCAGCGAGCGAGGGCGGGGAGGGGGCGTTGGCGCGGGGCCTGCAGGGGAAGGAAACTTTTAGCTGGGGTGGGGGACGGTGCGTAAGGTTGTTTGAGGAGGGGAAGAGGGATAAGGGGGTGTGGGTGTGTTTTTTGGGGCTGGTGGAGGGGTGATGGGTAAGGGGAGGAGAGGAGGAGTGGTTTGGTTTTAAGTTGAGATTTTAGAGTGAGATTTAAGGTTGAGATTTCATTATAGAGGACGGAGAGTCGTGAATGCGCGGTGTGGTGTGTATGTGTATATACAGGAGTGCGTAGATGGGATAGGATGGTGATTGTAGTCCGAGAAGCTGGATTGCAAATAGAAAGAGAAGGAAAACCGTGACGTGACGTGTAGGTAGGTGAATTATCCCATCCATCAGCGGTAAGATGGAGTGGGCGGTGCAAACGTGCAAACATAAAGCGTGAAGGCGTAAAAACGTCAAAACAAACCAACAACCCAATAAAAAACGAAAGCAACCTCCCCTTCCCTACCTCCACTCCAGCACCCAGCCCCCCATCCAAGCCTCACTCCCAAGCACCTCGCCCACGCCCCCCACCCTCAAAGCCCCAGCACCCTCATCCCACACGACCTTCGCGTCCTCTACTTCCTTACCCTGGACAAACACGCCGCCGGCCGGCCTCCCCTCCAGCCCCAACACCAGCACATCGCCCAGCGCGTTGCCGTCCCTGAACCCGCCGTCCGTGACACTGACACTCAGCCTGCCCCCACTGACCGCAAACGCCACGTCCAGCGTCTCGGAGGGCGAGACGCTCTCCCCGTCGTCCAGGTACAGCGACCCGGTCGCCGCGCCGCTGTTGTCCAGCGCGATCAGCACGTCCCACGCGGACTTGCGCGCGTCTCGCGTCGTCAGCGCCGGCGCCTGCAGAGGGAGTACGGAGCCCCCGCGCACGAAGACGGGGATGTGGCCGAGCGGGGCGGCGAGCGTCGTGTTCTTCCCTGGCTCGGCGGCGACTTCGGCGTGCGTGTACCAGTCGAACCAGCGGGTGCCAGAGCTCAGGCCAGGGAAGACGGCGTCGACGGATGAGGCGTTGGGCGCGAGGACGGGGGCGACGAGGACGGACGGGCCGAGCAGGAACTGCGTCTCCAGGGCCGCGAGGGCGGGCTCGGACGGGAATTCCCACGCCAGGGCGCGCATGACGGTGGAGCCCGTCGTGTGCGCGGCGTGGAAGAGCGTGTAAAGGTAGGGTAAGAGGGCGTAGCGGACAGCCATGGCTGTTTTGGTTGCCTCGGCCACCGACGCCCAGCGGTACGGCTCCTGCGCCCGCGCCGACAGCGTGTTGTGGTTCCGGTAGAAGGGGAAGAAGGCGCTGAGCTGCATCCAGCGGCTACAGAGCTCTTCGTCCGTGTTCCCGTTGAAGCCGCACGTGTCGACACCAAACATGGGGATGCCGAAGAGGCTGAAGCTCAGCGCTTGCGAGATCGAAAAGTACATGTATGCGAATTTCGACGCGTTGTCCCCGCCCCAGTGACCTGCCCATTTGCCTGAGCCGGCGAAGGTCGACCGCCCGATTATGAAGGGCCGTTTGCCCGGGAAGACGTCTAGTAGACCTTGGTATGTCGCGTTCAGGATCTGGTGCCCGAACAGGTTGTGCACGTCGTATTCTTGCACCCCGTCGTTGTGCGTCGCGTTGGGCGAGACGGCGTGGACGGCGAGGTCGCCCTGTACGTTGTTGATGACGTACGGTGGGTGGTTGACGTTGCGCTGGCCGGGCGTGGGCGTCGTGTGGAGGTAAGCCTGGGTTGTCGAGGCAGCGGTGCTTGAGGCGGCTGCTGCTTGGCTGGACGATGCCGAAGCGGCCGCTGCGGCCTCGGTTGCATTGGTGAGGTTGAAGCCTTCTGGGTAGTCCAGAACGAGGTTGCCGGGTTCACCGGGCAGAGCGAAGGGCGGGTGCACTGGGTTCAGCGACAAGTTTCCAGAGCCGCAAGAGCCTACACAGAAGGACGACACCTCGGACATATCGATCCAGATGCCGTCGAATGGAATTTCGCCGTGCCAGCGGACCTGTCTTGTTAGTATTGTTCTCTCGATGGCTATTGTCCACTCACCATCTCATCAGACCACCACGAAACGGACTCGTTTGCGTGCCAGTCTGGGAACACCGTATACCCAGGCCAGACTGACCCAATGTACTCGCTGCCATCGGGATTCTTGAGGAAGACATCGGCCTCGTGGCCCCTGGTGTAAGTAGCATACGCATCGCTCGCGTTGTCCGGGTTAGGGATGTATATCGCACTGTCAACGATAGGGACGAAATGCAAGCCCTTGTCATGCAGCGTCTTCATAAACTCCTGGCCCTCTGGGACGGGGAAAGTGTTGGCATCGGTAGTCCAGTCACGGTACTGGTCCATGTCTATACTTCGTCAGCCGCTGCTCACAAACGCGTACCCACAACTCACAGTCAATATCCACCCAGACCGTCTCCAGCGGAATCTCGAACCGCGCAAAGTCGTTTATCAACTCCTCCAGCATCGACCAGTTCGCGTAGCCCCACCGACACTGGTGATACCCAAACGTAAAGTACTGCTGCATGGCCGGCAGCCCGACGGCGCCGAACTGGAATTGCTTCGTGACGTCGACCTGCGTCGGGCCGTCAAAGAAGAACAAATCAATGCTGCCGCCCAGAGTGCGCCAGGTGATATTCTCTGCACGCAACAAAACCTCTTGGCCGTGAGCATTACGCAAGAACACGCCATGTGAGTAAGACTCGTACTCTGCGGTAGCGTCGGCCCCGTCCGTATCCGTCACCAGCGTGACATTGCCGGTTGCGTTGTCTTTCGAAAAGTACCGCGTGTCCAGATAAAATGGGTGCGAGCCATAGATGTTGTAGTCGATGGGGTCGCCGACATCGGCCGCGTACAGCGTCGCCGTGTAGTTGTTGCCTAGGCGTAGGTTGTGAATATGCTCACCCAGACCGTACACGTTGTAGTTCTCTGGCATGGCTGTCACAAACTCTATGAATTGGTCCTCGTACACGAGCTTGCTGCCCGCTGTGCTGAACACCACGTCGCCGGTCGAGCGACGCTTCACCGTGAACGCAAAGCTGGGCTCGTTGTCCCAGGAGACGTCGAAGTCGTTATTGGCTATGGTCGAGGCCGCGTCGTCGTCCGCAGTAGGGCGGGGGATGAGCTCATCTGGCAGCACATACCAGGAGGAATTGGAAGCATCAATGACAGCAGGGCTGATGTTGATAGACAGCCGGTCCGCGTTCTGGTACGCCACAGTCAGGTTCAACGTCTCGATATCGTTACCGTAGACATTGCAGGCCTCGCCGGCCAGGGTCAGCAGCGCGGTGAAGCCGTAGTCATTCTGGGAGACGTCAGACGCCGTGTAGCCGGGGCAGACGGTCTGCGCGTCCACGGCCTCCGGGTCTAGGATGTTTGGAATGAGATTGGCGCCATAGTCGGCCGAGGCAGGAACAGTAAACTGTGGCTTGTATGTAGCCGTGGCGGTGGACGTCTGTGCCTGCGCAAAGCCCGACAGCGTCAGGAAAGAAGCTGCCAATGGCAAGAGCAGCATGATGACGGGTCAAAGAAAAGAGAGACGAAGCCGCCGCAGTGTAGAGAAAAA